CACAGAAGGTTTGCCAACCTACTCAGGTCGCACTCGCCACACACAAAGGCTTTCTTTAGCTAAAACCCCATCTTAACTGCATCAAGGCACCAAAAAAAAAAAAAAAAGACCTTTTTTTTGCAGATTAATGCCAATTTATGTTACATCCTTTTATCATGGAGACATTTACATATACAAGCAGGGTATGCTCCTTAATTTCAAAAAAAAATACATTTACATATAGCCATGTTCACTGCAGGACTGACTTTTCAAAACAAAAGCAGGCCATGACAGGAAATGACATGGAATTAGCAAAGTTTGGAATTTGAGACAGTCGGAAAAATATGTTTGGGGACATTTTTTGTTAACATAGAAAAATGCCCCTTACAAACAGTACAGAAAAAAGGGGGTGAGGGGGGAGATCCAAGCTGTACAGACGACGCAGCGTGAGCCCAATTCTGTAAACATACAGGCGCGTCCTCCAGCCCAGGGAGGGCCCCAATGTTAATGGGGTGCCCACTCAGGCTTAGGACTAGCAATGATGTCTGCTGTATCCTTTGTGCCTCGTATTTTCTGTATTTCCTGTTTTTCACAGTAAACATCTATTACATTCATGATCAAAAAGGAGAAGTTTAGCCCTGGCTGGTGTGGCTCAGTTGGTTGGCCATCATCTTGTGCACCAAAAGGTTGTGGATTTGATTCCCAGTCAGGGCATATGCCGGGGCTACGGACTCAACCCCCAGGAGGGGATGTTTCTCTCTCTCTCCCTCTTCCTTCCTCTCTTTCTAAAAAATAATTTAAAAAAAAATAAGGAAAAGTTCATATGTAAGCATTTTAAGGAAGTTTGTTATTGGAAGAATTCCCTGAAGAAATCATTGTGTAAAACAGATAAACAACACCTAATTCATATATTTCCTTAGGATCCTTTGTGTTTCAGAACTCCCGATTTTCACACACAGAAGCGAGAAGCCTGCGCTATGCCTCTGGGAACGCTCGGGCACCTGGCAGGGGGCTCCGTACACGGGCCGACAATAAGGTTGGTTCAAGGAGGTCACGTCGCTGCTGCTTCCTTCAAAAAGGGCCTCGGAGTCTGAATGGCACCTTTATGTGCAGTGGGCATTCAAGCGTGTTGAGCCAAACGAGGACACGGGGAAAAGCGAGGAGTACAGAAAAGGGTCTCGGTGCCGGGATCACAGCTCCGGAGAACAGATGCTCGCGACAGACGCGGGCAGGAAGGGGTCGCTGACACGAAAACGGAGCATCGGTGGGGAGTTATGAATCATTGTTTTATTTTGCTTAATTTCTCTAGCTGTAAATTTTTCAAAACTAATATGAGCATATTTTACAGCTCACAGAACATTTAGAACATATTAAAATAAGTATCTTTCCACTGTAATGTGCCCAATTGAAATTTATGAATTCCAAAGCTACATTTTAAGGAGATGAAGGAACTGGCACTCCACGTTCTGTAGATTAATCAGATGGATTGTGTTGTTTTTCTCCTGATCAGAAAAAAAAAAAAAATCGTATCTCAGTAGCTGTTACCTTGAATCAAGGATTCTTCCAGATTCTAGAAGCTTACAGAGCTGCTTATATTAAGTCCCACTGTGCCCCCTGGTGGAAAGTGGGGTTTGTGCACTTAAAACACAGTCCTTCCCCAAAGGCTGGAAATAAAATCCCAAACAATTTTTTTAATCTTTACTAATCCACTTAACATGTACAAAACTCTGTGCCAGGTGCCACGGAGAATATAAAAATGAGTCTGGCACAGATCCCGTGCTCAAGTAGCTTAAAATCTACACGGTGTAGCAGACGCGGCTCCATGGCTACGCAGGCAGAACGAGACCACCGCATGCTGAGGAAAAGAGAAGATTCCGGGAGAAAGCAAGAACAAGGGCACACAGGAAGTGCCTCTATGTGTCAGACACCACGCTAGGTAGTTCATATCCAGTGTCATTTGTTTTTCATGAAAACCCAGAAAGGCATGTGTAATTAGCTCCACTTTACACACACGGGGGAAGCTCAGAGAAGTTAAGTGACTTGCCAGAGATCACACAGCCAGTGGCAGAGGGAGCATCCAAAGTGAAGCGCTGTGACCCCAGCCTCCAAACTCTTCCCTCCTTCCTGACCCGGTGGGGGGGTGGGGGGGAGAAGGCACTCTGGCAGACTTGAACCAAAGGCAAGGGGAAAGGCACCCTAGGGAAGGGAGCAGAGTGGGGGGGTGCTCATTGCCTGCTGCACCCACCATCTGCTCTCCACCCAGGACCGGAGTGCAGCAAGCCAGGACTCCTACCTGCACCCACAGCCCTGTCCCCACTCCAGACTCAGTGCCCACAAAATACCTCCTATGCCCCCTATATCATATACCAGATCACAAGGTTCCCCAAGATCTACCACCCGCCCACCCTCTGACATCATCCTGCCCAGGAACCTGAGGGCACAGCACATCTGAGGGCTCAGCCAAGACCTCCCTCGCCTAGTCCCCATCTAGTCCCGTCTGTCTTGAAAACTCGTGCATCTTAAAGCAGAGCGAACCCTGGCTAACGGTTTATAAAAGCCCTCATTTTCAGGACACCACCATAAGGAGAGGATCGGGAGTCACTCAGCCATGCTCTGCACCTGGGGCCACCTCCAAAGCCGCTCCTACAGCCTCCTCGGGGGACGAACACTGCAGTGGACAGGGCGCCCTGCAGGCTGCCAGGCCCAGCAGCACACACCATCTCCTCGGGGCGGGCAGCACAGCCACTGACCAGCCCAGGCCCCACTGCAAAAGGCCCTGGACCCAGGTCTCAGTGCATCACCCCTGGGCTTGACCAGCCTTCCCAAGCTGGACCGAGCGCGCCCTCTTCTGGTCAAGAGGTGTCACAGCTAGTTGGCTGCTCCATGGTCCCCTCCATGGGGCCCTTTCTACGTCCCCAGTGCACACTCACCTACTCCACGAACACTCGCTACACAACTGAGCAAACACAATGCCCCAAATCAGTGGTTTCACTCAGATGCTCTCTGTCTGAAAATTATCAAGGGAGCCTCTTCCTCCTCAAGATTGCTGTCAACATCTGCCAAACGGCCTCTCCCTCCACGTAATAGGAAGGGGCTGCCCGCGTCCCTCAGGTGGCCCGCCTGTGACCACACTACCCTCCACCAAACTCCACCGTGCGCCCAGCGTTAGCCTGGGTGCTTTAGACACAGCACCTGGGCATTTGTCCCACCTGAAAAGCCCCAGCCACACAACTCATCTGCTGGTTGTAGTGGGGTGCAAACAGGCTCAGAGAGGTTAGGTGCCTTGCGCAAGGTCACAAAGCTCTTGAGGATGGAAGTGAACCCCGAGCCCAGATCGCTGCAACTCCAGACCACAGATGGGGCCTGCAGACGCTGCCTGGCCACACCCAGACCCCACACGGCCCCCTCCGTGGGCACAGACTCTCGGGAAGGAGAGCCGAGAAGCCCCGGGACTGTGGGACCGACCCACGCCTGTGACAACGCACAGCAGGAGGCCAGGAGGCCAGAAGCCTCTGGGCAGACCTCAGGGCCGCCTCGCAGGAAGAGCCCCAAAGACCTGCATGTAAACTCCTGGGCTCCAAACGGAAGCCAGAACGTGACCATGGCCCCGCGTAACTCTACCAGCCTAGCCTGAAAAGAACACAAGTCGGGTCAGAACTCCAACTGGCCACTTAAACATGACCCCAGTGATTCGGCTCACATCGCTGTGGGTGGGCTTCCTTTCTTCACCTCAGAAAGCGCCTCCTAGAGGAAAAGCTCAAAAACAGAACCTGCAAATACAGTGTCCTGGGCAGGCTGGCTCCAGAACTCTGAGAGAAACAGAGGGAAGAAGAGACATTTGTTGAGCACCAACGGGGTACCTAGCTCTGTGCCAGGGGCTTGGTGAGTGTTTTTCCCACATGATCACAGACACGGGTACGATGATGCCCTTTCCAGATGCGACGCCAGGTGGAGGGCACAGGTCAGGCCAGTGGACCAGCTGCTCCCCAGCAAAGCTGGATGCGAAGCCATGTCACCCCAACACCAAAGCCATTTTCTTTCCAGGAAGCTTCAGTCCAAATCTCTTTGGCCCCTCCTACATAAGTGCTGTGCTAGGTGCCGAGGAGAGCGAGGAGGGACACAGAGTACAGCTCAGAGGGTTGGAGACAGGTTACAGGCAGGTGGGACACGCCTGTGACACTATTCACCTGTGCCGTTGAGGCTTGCTTACTGCAAGTCTGCATTACTTCAGTATACATCAAAATCAGTAAATAACAATAAAAAAAAAACTGGAAGCTTCCAACAGGCCACCACAGTCCTTGTGTGGCCCCTGCCTACTTCCCCAGCCTCGGGCCCCTTAAGGCCTCCATGCTTAGAGCCAAGAATGCCCTCCCCCGCTTCCTTCACCAAGTGCACCACCCCTGCTTCTGAAGCCTTCACAAGCCCTCCCAGGCTGGAAGCCGTCCCTCCCACTGGGTTCCTGCAGCACTTATGTATCCGGCTGGAGGTCTGGCTGGGGTCTGGTCCTAACAGCCCTGGGCCCAGGATTCTGGGTGCCTCGCCACGCACTTTCGGCCCCTACCACAGTGTGCGTGCCCTGAAGCCAAGGACCAGGTCTGTCTACCTCTGCACCCCCTGCATGTAACACAGCACCTGGCACAGAGCTGGCATCGCTCAGCACTCCACGGGAGTCTCAGAAGATGTCCCGCGTGCACGGGGCTCGGGCCTGGCTGCTTTCTTCTCCCTCTGACCGCTCTCTCCAGGGACCACATCCTCCCTGGATGCCAGCGTGTCTGGATGTCCTCAGTGCCCCCGCAGGGATACGGATTAGCATGTGGTGCCTGGCAAGGCAGTGCCAGGGAAGCACTGGGCTGAATGGACCAACGAGAACCCTCTCCTGAATGCATCAGAGAGAATTACAGAAATCCCCAAAAAGAACTGTGCCGCCTGTTAACCCCCCACGTCACTGCTTTGAAGAATAACGCATCCCAGCAGCTTGGTCCGGAGAGTAACTAAAAAGAGCAGTTCCGCTCAAAACTTACCTTGAAGGTTTTATCCAGAGAAGCCGAGAGGAACATGTGGCTCTTTGAAAAGACGGGGCACCACTGGATGCTGCTGACGGGGCCCTTGTGGCCTCGCAGGTGGAAGAGGACCTTCTGGGATATCTGGGTTTCCTTATACGGGGTGCCCAGGTACGGCTGGATGAACTCGGACACTTGGGGGGCCGTGCACAGAGGGCGCGGGGCGCGCAGAGAGGGACCCCGGGCCTCCGCATCTTTGTTCTTGCCCGTTTCTGTGCTTAATGCTTGCGAGCATCTCAGTCTCTTCGGGGTGTAGGGTACAATACAGTCCTCTCGCCCTTTCTTCTGAAGAGAGCTGCCACTCTTCCCCGGGGTCTCAGGTTTGGGTTGGGCACCGGAAGGTGGCTCAGGGGGGTCGTAAGTTCCCCAGGAGAGTCTCACCTGCTTCAAGCAGGCGGCTGCCCGGGGCCCACGGCCAGCGGGAGCGTGGCTGGTCCACAGGGAAGGACGAGGAGGCTCGCTTGTGGGGAAGGTGACGTCGGGCGCTGTCCTGGGCCACTGTAGCCTCTGGCTGGGGCAAGAGCCTGGGTCGCTCCTCCAGAGCCGAGCCAGTGGGAGGCGCTGGCCGGCTGGGTCCTCACAGGAGCTGTGCTTGGTGGTCAGTGTGCCTCCTGCCCCGTCCAGGACTCCCGATGCGAAATCCTGACCGCGAGGTTCAACCGTAACACAAGAGTCCTTCCTCCGGCCAGCGGCAGCACAGCTTCCCGCAGGCTCGCTCTCAGCCTCGGAGTCTGAGTCGTCATAAGCCACCAACGAAGCCATTGAAGACACTGTGTCCCGCGGTCCCTCGAGGGCAGACGACCTAAGACCAAAATCAGATGTAAGAAAGCGTGCATGGAAGAATAGTTACCACCATGCGAAGTTAAAAGAAATCATGCCATCCAGCAAATCTAAGACAGAAAAAAACCGTAAGAATAAACACATAAAGCATGAGGGCTTTTCTATACATCAGGCATAATTAATTAGAAGGGGTCATTTTCCTATGGAAATATGGGAATAAATTTAACACCCTCCCCCCACCCCAAACTAGCAAGACCTACATGAAGAAAACAAAAGCTTTATTGAAAGACATAAAATAGAACCCAAGTACCTGTAGACACGATGCCTGGACAGAAAGACCCGGGACTTTAAAGATGCCTGCTGGTGCAATATACAGATGATGTATTACAGAATGTATACCTGACACTATATAAATTTATTAACCAATGTCACCCCAATAAATTCAATACAAAAGAAAAAAAGGAGGAGGAACCAGGAAGTGCCAGCCAAATAACCCAGATGCTGGCAACCTTTCCACCACAAAAAAAGAAAGGATAATTACGGGGTGTAATAGCGTTGTTAGCTAATGCTATGGTGGTACTCATATTGCAATGTATTAATGTACCAATCAGCACGTGTGTTCCTTAAACTTGCACACTGTTATATGTCGATGGTATCTTAATAAAAATTAAAAATGTAAACATCATAATAACTTGAAAAATAAATAAACTGTTGGAAGGGCAATTTGGGGAGTACCTATTACAAACTGAAACGTATCAGCGGTTCTCAACCTGTGGGTCGCGACCCCTGAAAATACATCCTGCATATCAGATATTTACATGACGATTCATAACAGTAGCAACATTACAGTTATGAAGTAGCAACGAAAATAATTTTATGGTTGGGGGTCACCACAGCATGAGGAACTGTATTAAAGGGTCGCGGCATTATGAAGGTTGAGAACCACTATCGTTTTTACTGCAACATCCCCACTATAGAACTGCATCCTACACAAACACCTGCATATGTTTGCAAAGACAGATGTACACAGAGCCTGCAGCTTATTGGCCATTCAGTCATCAAAGGGATGAGGTTAGGTCTGAAAACCCTGAAATGGAAAGATCCACCAGGTGGGGAAAGCGTGCTACCCTCACCTCTGCCCTCTCTCTGGGCTCGTCCTTCCTTGTATTCTCTCTGGGACTCTCCCCCAGATACCCCATCTCCACTGGAAGCCAGTTGGAGTGACAGACCCACAAGTCCAGGCGGAGGGGCCCGAGGGTGTCATCCAAACCTGCCAGTTTCACTCCAACACACAGACTCACACAGCAGGGAGTTCCCCCTCCCTAAAAAAATCTTTCCTGAGATTCTGAGCCATCGTACATGATAAAATGGCCACCAGTTAGTTTCTAGAAGGAAGTATTCCATCTGGAGTTCAGTTCTGTGCTGTTAACATGAACTCGCCTCGAGAGGAAAACAAGGATGCGGAAACGTCCCGTCCCGGACAGCAGAGGGCGCGGTGGAGCAGCGTGGAAAACTTCAGCGAGGACCAACTTCTGACAAAGCCCAGTGTGCCCGCCCTCCTTAATACACCGGCTGAACTCCTCCTCCCCTGGGCGTGGGTAGGTCGGTGCCTCTGGGTCATCAGTCAAGCCATTCCAGACAGCCTGTCCACCCCTTAGAGAGGGATTTCAGGTCCCCTGGAATCAAACACCCCACCCCTTCCACGCCTTTCCCCCAAAGGGTGCCATTCACCCCAAACAAGCTAGGTCATCTGCCTCCTCCCCAAATCCCACCCGCACCTGCAGCCTCATCCACACACCAAGCCATCCTCTAAAATAAACTTCTAAAACAGGCCGGCCCGTCTCAGATGGAACTAATATCACATAGTGGGCTAACTACACACTAATGGAACTGAGCACCGTGGATGACTTGGCACTTCTGTTCTCTAAATACCCGTCCTGATCAGACATCTCAACTCCTGTGCACAGCATCCCATTCCTTCCTGTCAAATGGAACCCACCAGGCTCCCGCCACCAGGGCAGGGCGCCTGTGCTTGGCCATTAGGATGGATTCTCACCCACCCAGCCCTCCACAGGGGTTCCCTCACAGAAGCCCACGGCCAGAATGAAAGACGAGGTCTACAGCCAAAGATCAGAGAGCAGTGGGATTGGGGTCCCCTAGCCCCGCTTTCTAACAAGGCAAGGCAGCGAGGATGGCATGAACGCAGGAGGGTGGACGGCAGGGATGCCAATACTACCTGCTTCATGTGCCTTTCATTCGTTCAGTAAACACTGACGCAGAACGGGCTACTCGCCAAGCCCCACACTAGGCACCCAGGGAAACGATGCCATGCACTCACCATGCTCACATGCCAGTGGGGAGAAACAGATCCTAATCAATGAACTGGGGGTGTCAGGGGGTGAGAAATCATAAGGAGAGAAGAGAGAGGAGAATAGAGGTGGCAGTGGGTGTGGGGGTTCATTGAGGGAGGCTGAGGCAGGCCTAGGACAGGTGACACCTAAATAATGCTCCTCGGGGGTCAGGGAGCAGATGGCGAGAAGCAACAAATCCGATCAAACGGGGTCAGAGAGAAGGGAACCAAGATGACTCGAAGAAAACAGGCAAAAACGGGGAGCCAGTGGGACAACCAAATGTTAGGAGAATGTTTTTATGTTTCTAAGAATATATTTTTTATGTTTCTAAGGCAATGGTTCTCAACCTTCCTAATGCCACGACCCTTTAATACAGTTCCTCATGCTGTGGTGACCCCCAATTTCATTGTTACAAATTGAACATAATTAAAGCATAGTGATTAATCACAAAAACAATATGTAATTATATATGTGTTTTCCGATGGTCTTAGGCGACGCCTGTGAAAGGGTCGTGCGACCCCCAAAGGGGTCGCGACCCACATGTTGAGAACCGCTGCTCTAGAGGCAAAAGTGGGGGAGGAAATTTTTTCATAGAAAGACGGGGTGATTACACAGAGAGGAAGAGGTACAGCTAGAAGAAAAGGAAAGCTCACGGGAGAAACGGAGCGGGGCGTGGCAAGGACCCTCAGCAGCCCGGCAGCTGCCTGAGGACAGGAGTTTTCGTGTTTCGCTCACTGCTGGGTCCCAGCACCGGATGGGAGGGGCACAGAGAAAGTAAAGACACAGGAGATTCTCATTCAACAAGCATTTCCCGGTTGCCCACTCTGTGCCAAGCTTTCTGTTGGGTCTGATGTTGGGCCAGAGACTAAACGCGAAACACGGATCCCACGCCGGAGGCCACAGACTAATGAAGAGAACAAACAAGATACGACCAGGGCTGGGGTTTGAAGAATGAACAGGAGTTAGCCGAGCTGTCAAGAGCGAGAGGTTAAGGGTGATCCCGAGCACGGCGCGTTCGGAAAGAGCCTGCGATGAAGGGGAGGACAGCGGCGGTGAAAGGTCCGCGACAAGGGGCGGAGGGCTCGCGCCGCGCCGGGCAGCACCCTCCCGCCCCAGGCCCGCCGCTCACCACACACACCGGAAGCGCTCGATCCTCCCGGAGCCGGTCCTCCCGGAGCCGGTCCTACCTGCACTCCGCCCCCCAGTCGTGTTCCGCCAGCGCCGAGGCATCCAACCAATCAGCGGTGGCCTCCGTCCCGCCCCGCAAGAACAGCCAATGATGGCGCAGCCGGGCCGGAAGTGCTTCCGACCGGACGGCGTTTCCACGGACGCTTAGGAGACGCCTGGACGCGGAACCGGCGGCGCCGACAAGCCCACATGGGCCGGTAAGTGAGGGAGAAAGGGAAGGAGGGAGGAGGTGAGGGAGGAGCGGCGACCCACGGCCCGCCCTCCCGGAGCCGCCTGCACGCCGGGATCCGGAGTATCCCGAGAGCCCGGCTCGCTGCCACCACGCCCCTCGCCCCCTGCGCCGCCGCCGGCACCGACCCTTCATCCTCTCCTCCTCCTCCTCCTCCTCCTCTAGTGTCTGCCACGAGCCAGGGGCTTTGCTTTTAATATCACCCTCAGTCCCCTCCACGGTAAAGGAAGGAGGCTCCGGTATGCCCATTTCACAGAAGAGGAAACCGAGGATGAAGCAGAGAGGTAACCTGACTTGCCCCAGGTCTTGAAATCGAAACATGCCAAACCTGGCTTTGAAACCCTGGCCCGCGTGACCCCGGGGCTGATCTCTCCACCGCACGGCGCCGCCTTGGTGCACAGTAGCCGCAGGGCACATACAGCCTTCCTTTCCGCCCCCCACGACCCCATGTAAACTCGGTTCTGACCCTGAGACTGAGGGTGTGAAACGGGAAGCTGGCGAGGAGGTTATGTGGAGGCCAGCGTGCGCTATGGGGTGGCTGATGCAATGACCAGCTAATAGTTCGGCTCTCGGGTGGGTTTCATTGGTCTCCACCCTCCACCCCCCCACCTACACACACACACACACACACACACACACACACACGCAGCCCCTGATTGGACTGTCTCGTCAGGAATTGGTCAAGAGGCTCAAGTGTTTAAGAGAAACGGGGTGATTTCTAAGAAACGCCTTCTGCAAAGAGTTGCAGGGTGGGGTAAACAGAAAGAAAAGAGAATAAAGGGGCTTTTTTAAAAAGGAAACTGAAAGTAAGGGGGAAAGAGTATAAAAGAAGAGGCTGCTGCCCTGGGAGTCTCCACTACTCCAGTGGCCACCTCTGCAGTGTCTCGCTCAGACCAGGTACGTACTGCCTGCCATCTTTTGTCAGGCTTGCAGCTTATTCGTATTTTTGCCAGCCTTTTACCAAAGTGCTGGAAACCTTGGCTTAAAGAGTGAGAGATTGTCTCTCTTGGGATCAGGGTGTTGTACATTTTGTTTCAACCCACTGACCTAACGTTCAGGTGATTCACAGCTTCCCTAGGGAATGGAGGTCCTGGGGGAGGGGGTGCCTGTTTGGTTTCATGGTCGGCGTTTTAGCACCTTCCTGTTGGCTGTCGTATTTTTCACTGACGAGGCCTCCTCCTTAAGTAGTCATTATCCAAACAGATTAGCCGTCTCATTGTGATACTCAAAAAATGCCTCATGCCTGACTTCCTATAGCTTAATGTCTTCTTTGCCTTTTAAGATGATGTTCATGTTATTGTTTGGAGAGAAAAGTAACCTTTCCTCTCAGTGTTCAGAAAAGGAAAAGTGAACATGATCTGTTCTCAGGTTAGAAGGGTTAAAGAACACCTTGCTCTGAAGAAGTCACCTTCCTGTCCTCTGGGAACTTGATGGATGTGAAGGATGGTACCCGCCCTCTGGTGGCATCCAGGCATCTAGACTCTCCTGGGTCTCCTTCTCGGCTGTCCCCGGCTGCTCCAGAATTGGCTATCTTGAGGCCACCTACCTCCAAAATTGCAGAATGGGTGTGTTCTGATCTTATCTGCGAGATGAGATCACTGTCATGTTCCATGGTGCCGTTCTGTGATTCTTTTCATCCCAGTTTCTTCGGGTGCCCGCTACGCTCCTCCACAATGGAACCTTTCAAAATGAGCCCAAGATCCGTGTTGTTTAGAAAGAGGAATTGAGTTAATTTTTCAGAGCCTGGTAGCTTTGTCTCCAAAGTGTGCTGTGGTCCCCTGGGGAGTATGCCGGATTGGTCTTTACACTCCCCCTGCCTTTGTAGAGGAGGTAATAGATGACTTCGCAGATTACAGCTTCATTTCTTTGTTTTAGATTATAGGCTTGGTTAAGTAGTAAAGCAGCTTTCCTTAACAAAGACTCAAAGCCCTGTTTGCAGTTTATGGGGTTAACACTTAAGACAATGGTCCTTAGCCTTTTGGCATCTCAGAAGCCCTTCGAAAAAGTAATGAAACCTGGATACTCTGCTTAGAACCCCATTTATACCAACGTGCATGCCAAAAGTGATGTAATTCCAGAGGTTCCAAACTCTGGGTTAAAAACCTCTCACGGTAAACTTAATTCTAAAAGTTAGTTAACATGCCCTGATCGGTTTGGCTCAGTGGATAGAGCATTGGCCTGCGGACTGAAGGGTCCCAGGTTCGAGTCTGGTCAAGGGCATGTACCTTGACTGTGGGTACATCCCCCGTAGGGGGTGTGCAGGAGGCAGCTGATTGATGTTTCTCTCTCATCAATGTTTCTAACTCTCTATCCCTCTCCCTTCCTCTCTATAAAAAATCGATAAAATATATTTAAAAGTTAGTTAACAAAGAAATAAAGGAGGATATTGAGTAGATGGGAGAAACGGTGGCAAATGGGTGGGTGCAGGAAATGAGAGAAGTGGCAGCTCTGTTCTCCTTGTCTCTGACCGTTCCTGATGCACTCACTCACAAAGTTGCATCAGAAACACACACACACACACACACACACACACACACACACACACACGCTTTATAGTGTGGGGATTCCCATGCAGTGAGTAGCTGCCTTGTGATCACAGGAGCAGGGACCTCCTCTTTCCCTCACTCGGGTTTAGTTCCCACGTGCCTCTTCTTAAATGGGATTCTGATATTTAAAGATTCCTGTTTTCTTCCCTACAACACGGACCCTAAATGCAGGCCCAGTGTGTCTGGTTGATCTCCTGCAGTGACCTGCTCCATCTCAGGGAAGATCAGCTGTCCGGGGATCACCCAGTCATTGTACCTGGCACTTTCCCTAGGAATTTTTAAGGGTAATTTCCATCTGTACTTGATTTTGGTCCTACTCACAGACTAGAACTTTACTGATAATGTTGATGAGATGCTGTAGGAACTTAACTCTTGTTTATATCAGTTACCCTAGGATAAAATTGGTTCTGTGTCATTTTGCTTAACCATTTGTACACCCTACTCATCTATAATTAAATTCAAAATATTGTGGCAGTTAACTGGATAAAGTGGCAGAATCTATTGATGACGTTACATGAGGACTTACTGAACTGTGCATCCAGTTTTGAAAGTTGGGAAAATTCAGGATCATGTATAAAGTATCTGCACACGATATTGGATCACTTGTGGCCAGAAGTAATTTTCTTCACTTTGCTATTTGATATGGGCCTGAGTATTTCTCCTCTCTCATGCCAATCAGAAGGTTCTTCCACATTCCTTCCCTTTTTTACAAACTTCCCTGAACTGAGCTTTGTTATATGAGTCAGTTTGTTATCTCACCAAACTTCCCTTTCTGGGAATTGAGATGGTTTTCAGCAAGGAAGGGAAAGAAACCCATCCTGGTTTCAGTATTACGGTCTCTAATTATACAAAGAATGGTTTCGTTGAAATTCACATACTTTTGAAATAAATATTTAACAATGGATAAATAAAAGTAAATTACCCCTCAAATATGTGTTTGATTCATAGTTACTAGGGAAAAAATTTTTAATATGTTTTTATTGATTTGAGAGAGAGATAAAGAGGAGGGAGGGGGGAGAGAGAGAGATCAGTTGCCTCGGGCACACACCTCTACTGGGATCAAACCCAAAACCTGGGCATGTACCCTGACCAGGAATGGAACCGTCACCCTTTTGGTGTCTGGGATGACACTCAGCCAACTGAGCCACACCCACCAGGGCCAGAAAACAATTTTTTAATTAAGAAACAAAGTAGTTGTTCATTAAACCTCCACCCGGGGCCCATGCTGGGCTGACTGTTTACTTCCCTGCATCGTCGCACTTATCCACGCACCGTCCTGCAGTTAGTGTTGTGATGCCTGTTCCACTTCACATTTGAGAGGCTGAGGCTCATTCCAGTAGCTGACCTGTGAGTAATAGTTGAGGGCGTGGGCTCGCGGATCAAACTGCGTCAGTGTGTTGTGTTATCTTGGGAAAGTTTTTAACCTCTCTGTGCCTCAGTTTACTCACAGGTGAAATGGAGATAAATCTAGCTCATAAGGCTTCGGTGAATTGATATGCATAAGGTGCTTAGGACAACACCAAGTACAGAAGTGCTGGGAGAGCTGCTCTGTCATAGCCTCCTGTCATCCTCCGTGCTCTAGGTATAGCAGCAGGTACAGGTGGAGGGGGGCTCAGCCCGGCCCTGGAGCCCTCACGCACAATGCTCGTGATGAATTTAGTTCTTGCTTTACAGTTTACAAAGTGTCACCATGTCCTTTTTTCTCATAGCAGCCCCTGAGGTAGGTGCAGAGGTTCCTGATGGTGTGACTTCATAGATGAGGAAGCTGACCCTCAGAAAGGGGAAGTGACTGACCCAGGAGGGGACTGATGTGGCCGGCCTTTGCCCCAAGGCAGCATCGGTGGCCTCCCCTGTGCGCCCCTCCCCCTCAAGGTTAAGAGTAAATAATGACTATTAGGTACATCTTCAAAGTTTTGTTGTTAAGTAAGGCAGCATGTCTAATGGACAGGTTATATATAGTTCTTACCTCATTGGGAACCCAGCAGGGTAAGGCTCCGCCCTCTACCCCAGACCTTGCGTGTCTGAGAACCGAGCAGCTGGCCAGCCAGGAAGCCATTTGTTCAGCGGTAGGTTGATCAGAGCAGCAAAGGTCTGGGAACTTGTCCGCAACACAATTAAAGAGTAAAGAGCAATTTGACAAATGGGTCTGGGGCTATTAAACTTGGGGTTAGTAAAGCCCTTTAGTGTTTGCCCCTCAGCGAGCACAAGTCCTGCCTCTGTCCTGGGACCTGCACGGGCACACTCCGGCTTGGTTAGGAAGGGCCTCCTTTGCAGCCCTGAAAGCTGGAAGCCAGCAGCCCCTTTCGTCCTCATTAATCTCTCTCCCTTCTCTCCCTCTTCTTCCACAGTCTGTCAGGACCACTGAGCGACTCTTCCATTGCCCAGCTGTAAGCCTCGGTCTTCGGAGATGGCTGACGAGCAGGGGTGTGCCTCCCCGCTGGAGTTGTTCAACAGCATAGCTGCTCAGGGGGAGCGCGTGAGAGCCCTCAAAGCCGGGCAGGCGTCCAAGGTGGGTGGTTTTGCTGAGCTCTTCCTGTGCATACAGCCGAGTCTGTTGGATTGTGTGTCCTGGGAGCAGACTCAATAACTGACTATAACTCTATTGGCTATAATCTTACATTTGTCTTCTCCTTTATCAACATTATTGATGCATGTGAGGTAAAGAAAAGCCAGTGAAATGCAGCAGTCATCCACCCGCCCATCCTCATTTCCTGCTCCCAGAAACACGTACAAACCTCGTTTCTCGAATGTCTCCCATCTCGAACAATTTGGTTCTCAACCAAGTTGTTCACAGAAAAAAGTGTCTCAGTTGTCAAACCAAAACTTCATTTTCAACCTGACAACCCTTTCATGCTGATACCTCAACATGACAAAAAGTGTCTCGGGCAGCAAATAAAGGAGAGAACACTATTGTTGCTGTAGAAATCGATGGTTAGCACAGTTTTAAAACATAAACAGGCCATGAGCAGTGCTAATGTTGCTAAGGGTGTGAAAATGCTCACAAAACTGCAATCACCATCAACTGGACATATAGAAAAACTGTTGTTATTGTTTTCATGGAAAGACGGGGTGAGGGAAAAAAAGCAGTTAGTGGTGATAGCATTTCCAAGGCAATGGTATATGAAAAATTCATTTAAGGCTAGTATGGGGTGGTTTGATAAATTTAAGAAAAGAAATGTGTACTTATAAATAGTACATTAGTCATGTACTGTACATAAGAAAGGGACTCATTTGGGGGCCTGGGACTGATTGATTCAATTATCACTACTTCTAAGGGGGGGAAATGATTCAGTTTTCAAACAAATCACTTCTCGAACAGCCTTCTGAAACAAATTAAGTTTGAGAAATGAGGTTCCTTTGTATTTTCAATTCTTTTAGCTGCTTCCTTTAATATATAATCCCCATATCTCTAAAAAACCACCCTGATGCAGTGCTCCTTGTTGACTGCCCAGGTGAAGGCTGTGACTGTGGAAAATGAGGAACTGGCACTTGCACAAACATTCTCCTTCCCTCCCATCCCTGATACCTGAGTCCCTTGGTCGATGTTAGCATTGACCTTATTCTGACCATGGCAACGCTCCCGGCAGACCCACTGAGTGTACAGAGGGCTTTTCCTTTCCTGCCCAGCTCGTTTTCTCGGGCGTCAATTTATCCTGATTTCTTTTTGCTTGGCTTTTTGATGGACTCGTGGTAATGGGTCCAGGCTCTCCCCCTCGGTTGAGTGAATTTCCCCTGGAGGCCCTCCCATCAGCCCGTCGATCAAGTTCTTGAAGAAGTCTCTCCCAGACCTTCCCCTACTTTGTCCTGGACGGGCGGCTCGCCCCCACACTGCCCGCCGCAGGCTCTCCTCACGCCCACCGGCGCTCCTCGCCTCCGTAGGTCCCTGTTCCCTGACGCTGTCTTTCTCCTCCAGGGTCAGCTCTCCCTGGGCAGCACAAGTCCGCCAGTGGTTTCTGAGAAATTATTGCCAAGGACAGAATGTTGAGGGCTCTATGGAGTCTGAAAGTGTCTTTGTTTTACCTAATATTTGATAACGATGCTGCGCATAGAAATCTGAAGGGGAAGTGTATTCCCTCAGTCTCGGAAGCCCTTGTGCTGGGGTTGCTGTGGCGAACCGGGTGATTCCTTTGTTCTTTCTGCCGGGCATTTGCAGGCTCTTCTCTTTGTGCCTGGGTTTTGAAGTTTCTTGGGATGGGTGCTTGCTCAGTGCTCCTTTCAAACCAGAAGTTCGTGATATTTAAACCTCAGAAGTGATAGTATCTCTTTGATCTCTTCTGTTTTCTCTGTTTCTTGACTGACTTTTTTAAATTCAGAGACAGGTCCTCTGACCTTATTTTTTTACTTCTTTTTCTTATTTTTATTCTTGTTGTTCTTTCAGGTATATTTCCTCAACTTCTAACCCTCCTGTGGTGTCTCACTTAGCCCATGATTATTAACTTCCAAGAGCTCATTTAATCTCTGAATGTTCCTTTCCTCATAAGGCCCTGCTCTTACTTTATAGGTTCGGTGTCCTTTTAGCTCTGAGATCTTGTGGTCATTTCCCTGATGTTCTCTGCCCCTTTGTAAACTCCATTTCCTTCTGCCCTTCACATTAGAGGCAGCCCTCAAGTGTCAGCTGGTACTTGGCTGGCCCCGGCGTTTCAGAGGGAAGCAGAGACGCTGGCTGGGCTTCGTGCACGTGGGAGGAGCAGATCGGTGCAGGTGTCCCTTCCCTGGAGACCGCCAGGCTGCTCCCCTTTGTTGGGGAACTTTCACTGTCAGGGTCCTCAGGTCTCTTCTTCGAGGTTAGTAGAGTCCCCAGAGGGGGTCCTGCTGTCCCGAGGTGCAGGTCTGGTGCCAGCGTCGTGCCTCTGAGTAGGACGGAGGAGCTGGGCTGAGTGATCCTTCCCCAAGCTCCCTGTTCCCAGTGTGCTGCCCCTGCCGGGCAGAGGGCCCCAGGTGTGGACCCCTTTCACTCTCCCTCTCTAGACACTAAGCCTTGGGGGGCGGGAGGGCGGGGGAGAGGCACTCACTCAGCTGTGTCAGGAGCCTGAGGTAGAGGCCTGAGTAACTGCTTCTGAAACAGGCTTTCAACCAGTGCTCCTGTTTTTATAGCCCCCTTCCCCCTCACTGCCATAAGCACCTGAGGCCACTGGTGCCCCAGTCACCTGGGGATTCCACACGGTCTAAGTCCAGTTGCTGTCCAGTATTTCCACGCCATCCGAGCATTTGTTCTCACGTATTCAGCCAGTTACATCGTCCGTCAGCTTTCCAGCTTCTGAAATCCAGCTGCTGGCGTCCTCTCCTCTTTCTTTGTCCTCCTGGGGTCACTGCAGAGGCTCTGCTGTGGTTGCCCTGCGTCTCAGAGTGCGGTCCGCCAACCCCTGTGACCTCATTTTCGGAAATGTCTTCCCAGGCTCTCAGCAGATGTGTCAACCATTTCACGCTCACCGTACTAGAGTACTTTGACTCTTTGGACCCCAAATAAACCATTACATTTTAAAAGAAATAAATACTGAAAGAAAGTGACGTCAAAAAGAGGGAGTTGGTTACGCACAGGAAAAGGTTTATACACCAGGTAGGGCTCAATAGATGAGGCTAAATATATGAGGCTAAATATATATATATTTTTTAAATATATTTTATTGATTTTTTACAGAGAGGAAGGGAGAGGGATAGAGATTTAGAAACATTGATCAGCTGCCTCCTGCATACCCACTACTGGGGATGTGCCCGCAACAAAGGTACATGCCCTTGACCGGAATCAAACCTGGGACCCTTTAGTCCTCAGGCCGACGTTCTATCCACTGAGCCAAACCAGTTAGGGCTAAATATTTTTTTTTAATATATATTTATAAAAGCCTTAGTGACCCTTATGACCAACAGGTTGATCAGTCACTCTGACGTGCACTAACCACCAAGGGTCAGACGCTCAATGCAGGAGCTGCCCCCTGGTGGTCAGTGCGCTCCCACAGCCAACCTCCCCTGGTCCCTCCCCCGGCCAGCAAATCTCCCACAGTCCCCCCTCCAACTGTTGATTATTGACTCTAAAGACCCATTTTGGGAACTTGACGATGATTTTGTCCATTTAACATTAAATTTGAATAGCATGTAATAAATATTTTCATTAGTAATTCTTAGTTACAGTTATGTTCATTATTTTAGCAAACCAACGATACTTAGCACAGTAGCATGACCCTTCCAAGTGTGGTCTTTGACCAAGCCGAGTCAGCTGACACTCAGTAAAAACAGAGCAGGGGTTGCACACTGGGACCAGAGTTAAACGATGGAAATTCAGAAGCAAGTTTGTATCTAACCCTGAAATGTATTGTAATAGAAGCACCTGATGTTTTAGAAATTCCCTTCCAGCAAAATAGTTGAGCCACCCTGGGAGCACCAGTCCGTGCGGGCGCTGCGAGCTTTCACCACTGTCTGCCATCTGTCTGGGCCGTGGTTCTTGGCATGTACAGAGGGAGTGAGACCCGCTGCTTTTGGAAACAGCAGCTCACTAAAGCAGGGACGCTCTGGGGGCTGGGGAGTAGGCCAGGTCTGGGGACTCTGGGAGACAGTGGCCAAGGCCGTGTGCAGTTTGAGCAGCACTCGGGAAATGACACTGGATCGTATGAGTTAGGATAGAGACCAGAGCTTTATTTCTCCTTTTACTTTAAGTAAACTTTTAAAATCAAAGTACACCATTCATACAGAAAAGCACCGGGGTCATAAGCAGGCAGCTCGCTGAATTTTCACAAGATCCACACCTGTGTCACCAGCACCCAAATGCAGAAACAGCATTGGCAGCGCCGGAAGCTATCCCCAGGCCCCCCGGGTCACTGCCTCCCCTCCCAAGGGAGGCCACCCTGACCCCTTCACCCTGGATAGTTCTGCCTGTGTTCATTCAAACTCTGTGTAATCCAGCAGTGCATGGTCTTTTGTGTCTAGCTTTTTTCAGAACATCAGCTTTTAAATTCTGCTGCAGTGTTCCCGTTCATGATAGGTCGGGAACAAGAAGAGACGAGGCGAGCCCGCTTGCCTCTTTCAGTCCCATTCAGACTCCAGCCGGTCTTCCAGCAGGGACCTGGTTCAGTGTTTAGCTTTCATCCAGCCACCTGGTTGCAAGCAGAGCTAGGTGAGACTGGGTGTGAAATGTCAACACAGCCAGGCATTGACTGCAGTGCATTTCCAAGCAAAGTCATTCTTCCCACAGTTAGCTGGGTGGATTGTGCTGGCCTAACATTTATTTTTATGTAAGCGCTGAGCCTAGACAGTGCAGAAATGAGGTGAATAAGACATACTTGCCCATCTAACCCAGGCAGACATTCTGTCTGTGGGCTTACTGATTACACAACTCTGACTGGTTTAAATGAATTCTAGATAGTTTCAGAGTTTGCAACACAAATCTGTCTGCTAACCACCCTAAAAGAGCAGTCCTCTGTGGCAGATGTCCTGCCTGGCTGAGTGGCTCTCCGAGTGGAGGGTAGCGTTGGCGTGTGTCCCCTGGAAGTCCTGTTGATAACACATTACGTAAAAACTCTACATGGAAATGTTTGTATTTTCCTTGCAAGCAAATCGGACTGTGGATATTGTGTGTGAGCTGATCCAGCCAGGCCAATTATGGGAGTGGAGTTTTAGGGCATTACATGACTAAGCTCCCTAATGAGGCCTCCTGTTTGAAATGCCAGGCTTCCAGGGGTGGCTGGTGAGGGCTCCTGGGAGAGAAGTCCAGCAGAGTTCCAGAACGCCCAGAGACACTTGGCATCTGTGTTCCTTATGCTTATTCTAAAACCACAAACATGCAGACACTTGGGGCAGCAGCACAGCGGTTTCCCGTGGACCCTCCTCGGGCTGTGACCTGAGAGCCCCCAGTCCTTCCTGGCCTTTGTCTGTCTGAGTTGCTGTTATTATCCTTGGTGGCATGGTTGCTGAGGTTTCTGTAACTATTCTTGTCAGCCTATGCAGAACTCAGTATAGTGGAGCAGAGGATCTTGTCCCGCGTGGTCTCTGCATCAGTGGTTTGAGACTCTGGTGTAGTGACTGTCATAAACAGTGTAGATATGTTACTGTGTCTATCCCCACAGTGCTTGGTGGTAATCCGTAGCACTAGAGGGGCAGGTAAAAGTAGAATGCATTCAGGCCCACTCTTGCTGTGTGTCCATGGGCAAGTTCCTTCGCCTCTCTGAGTAACAAGGTTCTTCAACTGGAAAAGGACAGTGACAAGTCCTGCCTCCCAGGATTGCCGTGAGACTAAATGAAGCAACGTGTGTGAAAGCACCACACGGTGCCTGCCACGTGGCAGCAGTGACATTCAGCAAAAGGTAGCTACTGTCAATATCTTCATCCTTCACCCGATTTCCTATGTGTCCAGGATGAACTTGATTCTGCAGTGAAGAAGCTGTTATCACTAAAAATGAGCTACAAAGCGGCCATGGGGGAGGACTACAAGGCTGGCTGCCCTCCAAACAACCCGGCACCTGCGGGGGATAGTGGCCCAGATGCCACGGAAGCTGAAGAGGATTTTGTGGACCCGTGGACGGTACAGACGAGCAGTGCAAAAGGTGTTGACTATGACAAGCTCATTGGTACGTCCTGGGAAAAGCCCAGACTTTTAGTAGTGATTCCATTGGTGTTTTTAATATTAATCATAAATCAGTCAAGCTTCAATGCCAAGAACAAAATATATACCCTAAAATATTTTGATGGTGCATTATATTCCTAAAGGATTGTTAAATAAAGTAACAAAATAAAGCTTATTGCAAAATAATGATCTATAGTAGATAACGTAGTAGTACCTTTTCCCTTTTTTAACAATTCAGAACTTGAGAAAGGTCTGGTGAAATGGGTACCTTACAGTTCAGTTTCCTACACGATAAGCAGAAGGCCTCCTGAAATTCACTTAGTGGTGACAAGTCAGTCACAGATTGCCTAAGTGTCTCCTCCAGTGATGCCGTTTATGAAGCTAGCAGTCTAGAACTCAGCGGAAGGGGGGTCGCTGCTCACAGGCGGCCCCTTGTCACTTCCAGGGCCTTCCTTAAGGGCCTTCGTGCTCAGGGAAGTCCTCACTCTGCGGTCATTGCTAACCGTCAGAGAATCAACCAAAACGTTCTTACCCAAGCCACAGCCATTTTCCGTGATTTTTAAGTATAGACTATCAATAAGGAAAAATCCACTTAAGGGCAGACATTAATTCACTTCAACAATTAAAAGATATTAAAAAATATAGTTGTCGGTGTATATAAATTTTACCTTAGTGAGCAATAAGCAACTGTGTGTGCGCACGCACGTGAGAAGCTGCTGGCTAGACTGCGTTCTAGAGGTGTTTCCCATCAGAATCCAGTCCCAGACAGAACGGCATTTTATCCTGTAGTTTGTTTTCTGTTTTGCTGGGTGTGATCTCAGCTGTCTCGTTATCATTAGTACAAAAGACCCTGGACTTCATGTGGGGGAAGGACCAGGAGCAGAGGCCTCAAGGGTTTGGTTCATTCACGCTGCGACGTTCCCCTTAATGCCTGGTCCCCAACCTCCCGCCCCTAAGACAGTCATCTCTTCTTTTTCCCAGTTCGGTTCGGAAGCAGTAAAATTGACAAAGAGCTGATAAACCGAATAGAGCGAGCCACGGGCCAGAGACCACACCGCTTCCTGCGCAGGGGCATCTTCTTCTCACACAGGTGAGCCTTCCCGAGGACTTCTCACCCTTCCTCTCGAATTCAAAGAGGGATGGGCCCCCGCCGGTGCGGCTCAGTAGTTGAACATTGATCTATGAACCTGGAGGTCCCGGTTCAATTCCTGGTCAGGGCACATGCCGGGGTTGCGGGCTCCATCCCCTGTGGGGGGCATGCAGGAGGCAGCCAATCAGTGATTCTCCCTCATCATTGATGTTTCTGTCTCTCTCTCCCTCACCCTTCTTCTCTGAAATCAATTTTTAAATAAGTGTGTGTGTGTATAAATATATATATTTTTTTCCCCCCCTAAGTGATTGGGGCTATTTCCTCAGGCTGCCTGATACTGTGTGGAAATGGAAGGCAGTTGTCAGAGACTCGGACCCACCTCTCCCCTGTCAGTAACATGTCCCTTCACCCTCTGGCCCTTAGTTTATTCATCAATAAACTGTCCATTTCACGCCCCTAGCTGGTTTGGCTCAGTGGACAGAGTGCCAGCCCTCGATTTGAAGGATTCCTGGTTTGATTCTGGTCAAGGGCATGTACCTTGGTTGCAGGCTCAATCCCCAACCCTGGTTGAGGCATGTGCAGGAGGCAACCAATCGATGTGTCTTTCTCACATCAGTGTTTCTCTCTGTCTCCCCCTCTTCCTTCCACTCTCTCTAAAAATCAATGGGAAAATATCCTCGGGTGAGGATTAAAAAAAAAAACTGTCCACTTCACAAGGTGGAGGTTACATTCATAGAGGCTGAGATTCGTGCCAGATTATGTCCAAGTTCAGCGTTGCCTACACCATAAGCAGAAGGCTTCCTGAAATTACGTACCCTCTTCCTTCTGTTGTGCGGGCCTGCTCATAAATAATATCAGAAGAGAAACTAATAGAGCATATCTGCAACCAGATACCCCCACTTTAGACCGTAAGTGCCATGCAGATAACAGAAAACTAGCAGCTTCCAGGAGGGTTTCTGCTTCTCCCACCTGACAGATCACCTTGGGTTCGGGCCAGCCCATCTTCGAGGCTATGTTCATGGAATTTATGGTCCAAGGTGGGGCGTTCTGCTCTCTCCCACTCGCGGCTGCAGGAGCACGCACAGGTCACAGGTCGGCAGTTGGCCCCACACTTCAGATTCTGTGGCAGAGAAATGCGGGCCTCGTCCGCCTTCCTCACGGGCAGAATGTGCTCAGAGCTCTTTCCTGAATGAGGGTCAGGTCACCCTTCCCGAGTACACAGTTCAGTGGTTTTCAGTCTGTTCACAAGGTTGTGCAACCATCGCCACTAATTCCAGAACATTTTCTTCACCCCAAAGAAACCCCTACCCATTAGCAGCCAGTCCCCATTCCTCCCTCTCCCCCACCACCACTGGCAACCGTGAATCTCCTTTCTCTGTCTGTGTACTTACCTGTCCTGCACATTTCGTAGAAATAGAATCACACGCCCAGCCGGTGTTGCTCAGTATGAGTGTCGACCTATGAACCAGGAAGTCATAGTTCAATTCCTGAACAAGGCACATGCCCAGGTTGTGGGTTCGATCCCCAGCGTGAGGCCTGCAGGAGGCAGCTGATCAATGATTCTCTCTCATCATTGGTGTTTCTATCTCTTTCTTCCTCTCCCTTCCTCTCTGAAATCAATAAAAATATATATTTAAAATAGAAACACACAACGTGAGGCCGTGGGTGCCTGGCTATTTCAGGGAGCGTGTTTTCAAGGCCCATCTGCGCTGTAGCCTGTGTCAGTTGATGGAGGTGTAAGACTTGAAGCTTTTGGCCATTCTCAAATTTAAGAACACCCCCTATCTAATTTTATCATCTATAAAATAGGGGATTCGATGAGATAGCACCCAATGTCCACCTGCAAACAGACCATAGGTGCTGCCTGGGCGCCCTCCCCCGCTGAGTGAGTCCCTACCCCAACCATCCTCGCAAAGCTTCCAGAAACGGGAGCCTCATCCACTCCAGCCAGTCCCTGAGGCACCCCGCCCAGACCTACTGCACAGCGAGTGCTCAGAGACGCCCCACAAAGGTGGCCAGTCCGCTCAGGTGGCCACTGCCTGCTCTTCTCTAGAAGCCAAGCAATTTGATTGGTTAGTTGTGAAAGCCAAAGAAGGATTCCTCCAAAATTGTGTTTTACTATTTCCTTATTTCAGAGGTGGTGTGTTCATTCCAGGGGAGGGAGGGATAAAAACTAAGCACAGAAAAGCAGACTGCTCGTGGTCCTATCAGCCAAGCTGAGCAGCCACCCTGGCACAGGCTGGAGTCCCATTTGGAGGCCAGCAGACCTCCGGAAAAGGTGACTGTTCCCCTGTTACTTTGGGGAACTTGGCCCAGAAACAAGGGATAGTCACACCCCAGAGTGGTGGTTTCACACCTGCCACACATCGCAGTCACTGGGAGAGCCTTTTAAAAATACAGATTCCAGATCTCACAACCACCCTGAGAATCAGCATCTCTGAAGGCGGGGCCTGGGCAGGTACAATGGGGAAACAGCAGCCACGTGCTGCTGAGGCAAAGTCAGGAAGGAGGACCCTTGTGTGCCTTGGTGGACCCCCGTCCTGGGAGGGCGGTTGATTCCAGAATGACTCCCAGAAGAAGACACCTGGTCCCACCTGACTGAGGGAGCCGGGCGCATTTCCCAGTCCCCTCCCTAAGGCAGGGCTCTGTGGACCCCTCTGATGCCCCCAGTCTGGCTCTCCGGAGCCACAGGGCTGGGTGATTCTAAACAGTTACTGCACAATGTTGGCCTGGTGTCACCCAGGACAGTGTACAAAGCAGATGGTGTATCGGTGTTGATATTTGGAAAAATTCCGAAAGAGTTCCAGTGGCTGCCCAACTGCGTCCATCTTTTAAACACGTTATCCCGAGCTCCCATGTCTTCTGCTCTGAAAACAAGCACAGGAGAAACCATGTCAGTAGAACCATTACAGACACACCAAGAACAGCAAACTAGTTCTTTCCTGTGTTTGTCTGAACATTGCCAAGTGAGCATTGGCACCTCGACTTTTCCCCCCAGAAAAATCACAGTTCCCTCTCTCCTCTTTCCTTCAGGGACATGAACCAAGTCCTCGATGCCTATGAGAACAAGAAGCCGTTTTACCTGTATACGGGCAGGGGCCCCTCTTCCGAAGCCATGCACGTCGGCCACCTCATCCCGTTCATCTTCACAAAGTGAGTCCTGGCTCTGTGACTCTCCTCGCTGTTATTAGCAAGTCAGGAGCGGCGAGTATAAGTTGTGTCTAGAAACAGCAGGACAGGACCAGTCCACATTTGCTGAACAACCACAGTGTCAGGGACATGGCGCCTCTGTGGCCTCCATTCACTCGGTTCGTTCCTGGTGTCACTTTAGAGGGACATGGGTGACAGCGACCCTCACACCGGTGCCACATCTTCTCTTCCCTATCCATGTGACCATAGGACAGTGACGGCTCTGAGCCTTAGGTTCCTCCTCTGCGAGATGGAAATAATAATACCTGCCTCGTAAAATCACTGTAAGGCTACAAGGAAGGCATGTGAAACAGCGAGCCTAGAGCTGTGCAGGGCGCTCTGAGTTAGTAACTGGCAATGCCCTTATCGTTACCAATAATCAGATAAACAGCATGCTAAGATCACGTGATTTTGCAGACAAGGAGGCCTTGACACAAGCTGTTCGTTGGAACTGTGTTTTCAGATGCCAAAGGGCGTTTTTCTTCAGGGGAAACGAGATGTCAGCCTCTCCCCGTGTCTCTTAGGTGGCTGCAGGACGTGTTCAATGTGCCCTTGGTCATCCAGATGACGGACGACGAGAAGTACCTGTGGAAGGACCTGACCCTGGACCAGGCCCATGGCTACGCCGTGGAAAATGCCAAGGACATCATCGCCTGCGGCTTTGACATCAACAAGACCTTCATCTTTTCTGACCTTGACTACATGGGGTACGGAGAGAACGCATGGCTGCCTTTTGAATGAGCAGATGTGGACATCAGGTCCTCAGGACGGCTCAATCTGAAACATCTCGGGTGGTCTCAGGCCCCGTGACCGTTTTTCTGCTTTTACTGAGTGTTGTGACCTGGGGTAGTGGCTGCGATTTTCATCCTCAGCTGCTGACCGAGAAGTACTCTGTGTTGTAGTCGCTCTCCAAGGATGATCAGTCTCACCAAGTTAGGGTCTTTGTCTCTCCTCACAGAGGAAAGACTCCCTGGTTACACATTCCCTCCCAGTCTAGGATTTTAATCTGTCGTTTATTTCATTTTTTAAAATTTATTTCAGAGAGAGGAAGGAAGAGAGAGAGAGAGATAGAAACATTAATGATGAGAGAGAATCACTGATCTGCTGCCTCCTACATGCCCCCTACTGGGATCAAGACCAAAACCCAGGCATGTGCCCTGACTGGGAATTGAACCGTGACCTCCTGGTTCATAAGTTGATGCTCAACCACTGAGCCAGGACAGCTGGGCCAGTCTAGGTTTTTAAATCAACTGCTTAAAAACCCTTAAATTAAAACTCTGAGGTTGAACCTTAACCCAAATGACTACCAAGAAAGTGTTAGGAAATTATTTAGATTTTTTTTAAAATCACTTTTCTTGTGCCCCTAGCGGCACTACGGTGTCTGGGAGAAACATGGTCTTGGAAGGAAGGCGGGCCTAGGTTTGAGTCTGACCACGTCTGTTAATGGTGGTGAGACACTTCTGGTGCATGAAATAGGATTAGATGTGACCTTAGATGTCACTGTTATTACCATTTCCATAGCACTTCATTTTATTTCTCCCATTCCTTAGAACTCATTCCATGAGTTCGGCAGTCTCTTCCCTCGGCCCCTGCTATGGCCCCCCAGGACCTCTGGTCCCCTCCAGCCTGCACTCTCTAGATCACAGGTCTGGTCAGGTCCCCCGCGCAGGCTTTTCCCAGCACTCCCTCGTCCTCAAGATCAAGTTCTCACTTCCCTCTGAGCACGCAGCCCCTCTGTGAGTGGGCCCGCTCCTGTCTGGTGCTGCTGCCACCTCCCTCCAGATGGAACAGTTCCATTTCCTCCCATTTGTCCATGTTCTTGTCTGCCCAGAGGCCCCTCCCCTCCCAGCTCAGCATTCCTCCACTTTCTTCCAAACCCGTGATCAAGCATCGCCTTGTCCTGGGAGCCGACCCTGGCAGGCAGATCCGGCACCTGCTCTGGTTCCGGCACCCAAGCTCCTCCTCGGCCACCTCTAGTATAAGGTGCACTATGAGGGGTGGCCCTCTCCCAGGAGGTCAGTGAAACAGTCACCATGTGCTCTCAGTGGCAGGCACGCCGTAGGCCCCGGAAACACGGCAGTGGGCAAAACAAAGTCTGCCCCAGTGAGCGTGATGTTAGAGCATCAGAAGCAAGCCCTCTAGTAGTCACTGTGTGACTGGGCAGCGAGCTAACCCCTCTGCCTGCTCGCTCCGCCCACTTATTCAGCAGGTATTTATTGAGCATCTGCTACATGCCAGACTGCTGCTGGGATACAGCAGCCAATAACACAATGAAGCAGCCACTCTGTCAGGTTACCTTCCAACCCGCAGAGTCGGGCAGCTCATCAGTAATAGACCAGGTGATAAGTGCTGTGAGGAGAAGGAAGGGGGACTCAGCGGGCAGGAGGTTCGGACCTGTGTCTGATTCTGACGGTGTTTGCAGGATGAGCCCAGGCTTCTACAGGAACGTGGTGAAGATTCAGAAGCACGTGACCTTCAACCAAGTGAAAGGCATTTTTGGCTTCACGGACAGTGACTGCATCGGTAAGGAGCCGCTGCTGCCTGCGCCCGGCCCCAGCCCATCAGAAGGGAGTAGTGGCCCCGAGCTGAGCTGTCGCTGCGATGGTGGCTTCTGCACTTTGTCTCTTTAAAGAGTAAACCAGAGGGGGTTTCCTCGGGACATGAGGCAATGTGATGCCCTTGGCCACTGTCCTGGGCATGTGGAGCTGTACCCGGGGTGCCAGTCCGCCCCTGTCCCCAGCCATCCATGGAAGGCTTACAGGAAAGTAGGAAAGGTACAGACAGCTTGGGAGTTCCTGTGTCCGCACACAGCGTGCACCTGAGAGCACCTGAGGACCCGAGAGCTGCAGCTGGGCGCCACTTGTCAAGTGTGACGCGAGGTCCATACCCTTAGTCCCAGAAGTCCCCCCTCTGCAGGTCTCAGCAGATCACAGGAGCATTGTTAACAAAACATTGAAGACTGTTCTGTATCAAGAGAGCATAATTTGTAATAATTAAACGATGAGGAACAATCCGAATGCCCAGTGGGCAGAGAATGGTTAAATGTAGACGATTCGTTTATAGAGTAGAACATATTTAACAACAACCTGGGTAAACACTACAGAGTGAAAGGGCAAGGGGTAAAAATAGTATAATCACAACTGAAATAAGTAGAAATAGAGAAAACAGATGAAAAGAGACACAAATTGAGTTGATGGATTTTTTTCTTCTACTTTTCTGGAGTTTTCTGCTTTTCTTTAATGATGATTACTTGTCTAATGAGGAGAAAGCCTGTTTTTGCTCATCCCTTTCCCTGGGATAACCAACCAGACAGGAGCTGCCGTGTGTAAAGGTTCTCTGTCCTCGCTCCCAGGGAAGATCAGCTTTCCTGCCATCCAGGCTGCTCCCTCCTTCAGCAACTCGTTCCCGCAGATCTTTGGGGACAAGACGGACGTCCAGTGCCTCATCCCCTGTGCCATCGACCAGGTGAGGAGGCAACGGGGTGTCAGGTCTGGGCTGTGCGGGCGGCTCCCGGCACTCACCTGTGGGAAAGGCGGCTTGGGGTGAGGGGCTGGGGGATCGGTTCTGTGAACTGGCTGAGGTTGCTGTGAAGGCCTGTCAGGTGACGCTGATGGGCTGAAAGCTGGAGTATTGCTTCCAGCCATCCTCAAAAGGCCCCCCTCTCCCCTAGGACCCTTACTTCAGGATGACGAGAGACGTCGCCCCCAGGATCGGCTATCCTAAACCAGCCCTGCTGCACTCGACCTTCTTCCCCGCCCTGCAGGGGGCCCAGACCAAGATGAGTGCCAGCGACCCCAACTCCTCCATCTTCCTCACAGACACTGCCAAGCAGATCAAGACCAAGGTGAGCACTTCGCTGGGCGGGGGACCGCCTGTGCCCCCAGAACCACATGCTCAGGCACACGCACCCCCGCACCAGCTCTCTGTCGTTTCGGTACCCGCTGCCCCAGGGCTGCTGAAATCCTGGACTGAAAACTGTCCCCCTGCTGACTCGAGGCCTCCTGTCCCTGTTCCCAGATATCAGGGGAATTTACTTTGTGTCCTTTCACTAAGGCAAAACTTTACATTTTTTTCCCTTTTCTCATCAGCGCTGTGTTCTGGTAGCAAAGTCATGGCCGTTTTCTTTAAAGTCACACAGGCAGCAGAGGAAAGTCTATTTCTGAGCACGAGCTGTATTCTGGGTCCGGGCCAGGCACTTTGTTCGTGCGTCCTTGTTCTACTTCTCACTGGGCGAGCGGTTTGTTCCTTTCAAAGGTGAGAAGGATGAGGCCCAGAGTGGTGACAACTCGGCCAGGTTTCCACTGGAAACCAGCAGAGTGCTCCTGGCCAGAGCAGCACCACCAGCGTGGGTTTGGGGGCTCTCCTCCCAGAGCTCTCACTGAGCCCCAGAATGGGTAGATGCCCGTCAGTGGAACAGCCCTGCCCTGCCCGGCAGGTAGCCGGGCTCTTGAGTCACCAGGGACACGTGAACTAGGAGTTGGTTGAGCTTCCGTATTTTCAGGCCTCACTTCTGTTGCTGGGTGCTGACCTGCAGATAGGACAGTCCCCTCACTGCCCTACAAAGCTGTTGACGTTTTATTGGGAACCGATTGTGGGTCTATGGGTTGGAAGTTGACAGTGGGAGGGACAGAAACTGTATTTGAAGCACATAATGCAACTGTCTGAGTCACTGCCTGGCCCTGACCCTTCTGGAAAGTCCCAGGCAATTCCTGGCGGACAGCAGGGAAACCCTTGATACTATGAACAGCTGCTTCTGGCGGAAACTTGCAGAGCACGGAGTGTGTGGGGGGTAGTAGGGGAGGGACTCCTGTTCCCTCCAGCAGAGGCGTTTTGTATTGTTTTTGAGGTGTTGTTTGAAGTCAGTCACTTTTGGCTTTGGGGCATTTTTCATTCACCTAGAGACCTGCAAAGACCCAGAGCAGGGCGAGCAGTGAGTGTGAGGAGCCACACGGCTGCAGAGGCCACCAGGGTCACGCAGGTCACGCTGCTGTGACGGGCAGGCCAGGCCTTTGTGCTCATTCTCCATGCCCGTCTTCAACTCCGGATCAGACTCCTCGGCCGAGAGGGCACCTGCCCCACTCAAGAATCGCACAGTAGCCATGTGTGGCTGCAGGGGTGTGGCTGCCTGGTCACCTGCCACGCACTGACCTGTGTGATCTCATGGAGCTCTCACATCCACCAGGAGGCTGTGTCCATTCTGTGGGCGAAGAAATCAAGGCTTAGAGGGTTGGGCAGCTGCCCTGCATCCACCCTGTTGGGAAGCAGAGGGCCAGGACTAGAACCCAGGTCCGCCACTGTCTGGCCCTGCCTCTTACTCGCTGTTGGAGAGTGACCTTGGCTGTCCAGTTGTCATTTGTGACGTGGGTCAGTCGTCCCCTTCACAGACAGGCAGGGCTTACATGAGATCCCATATAGAAAGCGTTTGTGAACTGTCAAGCACTGCCCAAATTTTAGCTTTTGGCTCAGAAAGTGAATAGTTGAATAGTAGGGTGGGCCACAGTGTGCCTCCTGTGGGCTGTCATGTGGATCCTGTCAGACCAGTGGCCCCTCCCCGCCCTGGTCTCCGGGCTTCTGTGCCAATTTGACCTTCTCGTTCATTTGGAGCAGCGGGAACTCGCTGGCTCTTGGTGGTTGGATCAAGCCCCGCCCTCAGCCCAGACAGCCTTCCTGTTGCAGTTTCATTACATGGAATCGTTTTGGTGCATCTCACTGGCTTCCATCGTTTTGGATCCAGGCAGTGGCCTTCCAGTCCCCACCGACTGGCTCCACCATGGCCCAAACCTGTCTTCCTGTTGGTTCCCTGAAAGTCAGGCCCAGCATCACTGAGGACGAGCCAGGTCCAACATCAGGACCACGTAAGCCACTCGGCAACCTGGTGTCCCAGGAAGTCTGTGCCTGGGAAGATGCCCGCACGCACAGGGGCCTCCACAAGACCAGAGGCTCCAGCAGGCAGTGCACCTGCCTGAGGGCGTGTGGATCTCAGGAGAGCCCAATACGTGGTGGTTTTCTCTTCTTGTTTATTTTGTATTTTCCACAGTTTCTGCGTTTGAGGACATTGATTTTATTTCCTGACTTGCTCTTTTTGTCAAGGAAGTGAAGGTGGCCAGCCCACCAGCCCCGCCCCTCCCCGCTGCCCTCTGTGCGGGGCCTGCTGAGCATGCGGCTCCCCAGCCTCCTCCTTTCCCGAGCAGATACAGCTCGTGGGCATACAGCTCCTGCTCAGAAGTGGCTGCTTTCTCCTGGAGAGGATGGGTTTCACTTGCCTCCCTGTGCCCGGCGTTCCTCTGAGCTTCTGGACGGTCCCAGAGCATCCAGTAGTGGCCTGTCCTGGGGCCACCTCCACTTGGAGTTTACCGACTCCACCCACCCCACTCACCTTCTGTCTGTAGCTGCTTCTCAAATCCTCGTTGAAAGAACACGGAGGAACTTTGTCCGTTTCAGCTTTTCTTCTCCCACTCGTGGCCCTGATTTCTCTAAGATTCTCCTCAGTGAGTCCTGAAATGCATTTGTTAGCTTGTGAGTCTGTCGTCTGCTCCTGAAAGTGCCGGGGTTAGGTGAGCCCTACCTGAAGGTCCTCCACCTCTGTACTGTCCAGGGTCAGCTTTCCCTCCTGAGCCCTCATCTGTGCCTCCCTCCCGTTCCCTCTCATAGTGGGGAGGGCAGCAGCCAGGCTGGGGCTCTGTCCTGCTCACCAGTGACAGCACCGCCTGCCCCGGGCAGCGGCCGCCCCTCCCTGGTCGTCTGAAGCTCATCACCTGAGAAAACTTTTAGGACATTCGCCCCCAATTCCAGCTCTCGACTCTGTTCTTGTCAGTGGAGAGTGGGGAGTGCAAAGCGAGCCCACCTCTGCCCCTTCCCTGCAGTGGGCCCACTGAGTCCACTTGGTGGGGCTCCTCCCTCTGGTCAGGATCTGACGGGCTTGGGCTGAAGCCGTCACTGGCTCCACTTCCAGCCCTTGGGCTCCCGCAGGGCAGCCAGCACCCCCAGCGTTGTGTGTCTCTTGCTGGCGCAGGTCAACAAGCACGCGTTTTCTGGAGGGAGAGACACCATCGAGGAGCACAGGCAGTTTGGGGGCAACTGCGACGTGGACGTGTCCTTCATGTACCTGACCTTCTTCCTGGAGGATGACGACAAGCTGGAGCAGATCAGGAAGGTAGGACAGGCCCGTCCCGGCCGCCCCAGCTCGCTCCTCGGGACCTGGAGGGCTCTGGCAGCCAGCTGGGGGCAGTCGGCGTTTCCTCGGGGTCTGAGCCCCAGAGAGTAAATGGAGGCGGTGGATTGGTCCGTAGCCATGGGCCAAGAAACCTCATGAACAGGTATTCACAAGAGAGAAACTGCAGGCTACTCTTTACTTAGTAGCCAACACAAGGGTTTAATCCTTCTGTCAGAGCATCGAAGTTAAAACAGTTCCCCTACCAACTTAGCAGGGTTTATGCTGCTGTTTCATTTGCAACGATCATAAACCAGATGCTGCCAGGCTTCCCCCGCACAGCGTGTCCGGCAGCAGCTTGGCCGTGGGATGGAGAACCCCAAGAATGTCCACAGCTGTGCTCGGGTTTCCCAGTTCCCAGGACCTTTTCCAAGGAAGCACCCCTGCTAGAGAAAGAGCCCCTCATATAACAGCATTCAAAGTGGTCACAGCACAAGTGAGGACCAGCCACACAGCAGAGGCGGGTCACCTAGGAAGTGTCCCTGGGTGGGTGCTGCGGGCGGAGGGTTTCCATGGCAGGACAGTGGGCCTGCGGGAGCGATCAGGCAGACACCAGCAAGATCAGTGCACACACAGCGAGGTCTGTGCACACACAGCAAGGTCTGTGCACACGCAGCGAAGTCCGTGCACACGCAGCAAGGTCTGTGCACACTCAGCGAGGTCAGGCAGACACCAGCGAGATCAGTGCACATTTAGCAAGGTCTGTGCACACACAGCGAGGTCTGTGCACACACAGCGAGGTCCATGCACACGCAGCGAGGTCTGTGCACACGCAGCGAGGTCCGTGCACACGCAGCGAGGTCCGTGCACCACAGAAAACCTAAGCGATGCCCAAACGTTAGCCATGGCCCTGGCCTTGCTGCTCTGGGGCTTGGGTCAGAGATTCAGCAAAGACTGTACAGAAGCTGGGAGGGCTGGCGGAGCTGTCCTTCATTCCCTGTGTTTGGAGTTCAGTTGCAGCGCAGGTTGGTGAGGCCTCCCCTCGACCCCCTCGCTGTGAGAGGGCAGTAGCGCTCGCGCTCAGAAGGGAAGTGTAATGGACAGGGTTTTGTCCCGAGCGAGGCCATGGGGCGGAGCTGTTCTCATGGTGTCTCCCCGCAGGATTACACCAGCGGAGCCATGCTCACCGGGGAGCTCAAGAAGGAGCTCGTGGAGGTCCTGCAGCCCCTGATCGCGGAGCACCAGGCCCGGCGCAAGGAGGTCACGGAGGAGATAGTCAGAGAGTTCATGACCCCCCGGAAGCTGTCCTACGACTTTCAGTAACACCCATTTATCTCTGTACATAAAGAAGCAAAATTAACCAGAGCCCCAGCCCAATCGAATCACTGCTGTACTTAGGCCGTCACAGCTTCCTGGGCCTGGTGTCGGTAACCCTGTGTCAGTACTGTTTCTCCCTGGGCCATCCTTTCCATCAGGGCCAAACCCTGTGCGCTGCCTGCGCACCGGGCGCCAGGGCAGGAGTCCCGCTGGTTCTCTCCCACAAGGCACCCCGGCCCGCCCAGAGCCAGCCACAGGGAGCACTTCCACTGGAAAACACCCTTCGGTTCCACATAGACCCTCAAAGCCGCTGGAAAGGGAGCCTATAGTCTGCATGTACATTTCAGGACTGCCCCCAAAACCAAAAAGAATTGCCAGCTGTGCATTTAACGGAGAGATCTCCCAGCTTGAAGCTGCTTTTCATACTGAATATCGCCCGAGGAGGCCACTTTTATTAGGTTGAGTCTGCAGGAGAAACTCCACACGTGAGCTCCAGCCCCACGTGTTGTCTGGCAGTCTCTGCCCTTCTCTGAGCCTCCCCACACCGCTTCCAGCAGCTGGCCCCGGGGACAGGCTCTCCACCCTGAGAACCAGCGCTGGGCCCCCTGCCGGCTGCTGTGGGGAGTCTGCGGCCTTTGCAGACACCTTTGTCCTGACACTTGGCTGGCATGGAGGCCTGCACCCTGCCGGTGCCCCGGGCGTCCTGGGCGGTGGAGAGCACACAGCAGCCCCCAGGCCCCAAGGGAGCCGTTCAGTCTTGTGCCCCGTGTAGTCTGGGAAAGCCCTTGTGGGGGTGCAGGGTCCACTCCTGAATGCTCTACCCTCTTGTCACTTGTTGGCCTAAATAAATCTCTGGTCCCGCCTGTGTGGCTGTGTTGTGTGGAGTTTGAGCAGGACAGGGGCCTCGCTTCAGGCCCCTGGGTGTGCTGCGCCTGCCACCGAGCCGCGGCTGCTCCGAGGATGGCCCTTGAGTCTGCTGGAGTCACAGTGGGGGTGTAGAAGGGGAGGCCCACAGTGCAGGAAGCCCCGAGGCACAGACACAGGCTCCCAGGAACCTGTCCCCCCTTAACAGTCCTGGTCTGGACTCTCACCACTTCCGGTGGAGAATGCAAGCAAAGGTCCTTATTTTGTGCATGGGATGGTCCAAGGTGGGGCTGTGTAGTGACAGGTGCCAGTCTACCAGCCAACCAGGGCTCACTCTACCCACCGTCTTCATTTTGTTACAGGGCAGTAAGGAGCTAGGAAAATTCCAGGGCAAGTGGAATAGGGAAACAGACAGGAAAGTTAAAACAAGGCAAAACTATTGGCAGCCAGCTTGTAACTAACAAACCATTATCTTCCTCAGCCAAGGACACGAGGGCAAATGGTTAAAAGCCTCCCTAATGAGAGAATGCAGGAAAGGAGGGGAGGGGGAAAGGTAAAAGGGGCAGCTTTACTCCCTAAGCAGAGAAGCCAGCAAGGCTCTTCGAGACACAGTTGCCAGATGCTTCTCGTGAATTCTGGGAAGGCCACAGCAATGTAAAAAGGGAACTTGAGAATTAATTTGTACCAAAATAGTCAGCAGAGGAATTCTGAAACCTGCAGATGGGAGGGTATATAGTAATACCTCCGACCCCCACCCAACCTGCTCTTCCGATTAACTGAGAGCTCACCTGCGCTTCATAAGCCAAATATATATAGGTTTGCTTCTTTAATGCAGGTGCATGCTTTCATTGCTTTAATAAATTGGCTTTACACAACGCAGTCAAGATCTCTTATAAATTCATTTATATGAGAAGACGAGGATCGAGGTTGGGGACAGCCCCTCCCACGGACTCAGGGGCTGTCTGGTAACACCTGGTGAGAGGTGCCGCCAACCATTTTGTGAGGTGGCAAAACGGAGGCATAGACAAGGAGAATGTGACTCGTCCAAGGCCACACAGTAAGTTTGTTACAAAGCAGCCTGTCCCGACTTCCTTTTGCTAAAACCTGTGCGTCCTTAAAGTTCCCCAAGAGACCCCAGGATCAGGATAGACGAGGTGGCCAGCCCAGCAGGTGTCTGGGTGACAGGGTGGTTCTGGCCCCTGGTGGGCAAGGACTGCTTCCAGGGGAGCTCTGACTGTCGGTGTCCCCTCACCTCCATGCGTCTCAGTGCCGTGTTGTGGGGAGACCAGCTGAGCTGCACCTGAGGGACAAGCACAGGGAGCCTCCTGCACGGCAGTGGACAGCTGAGGAGGGGACAGTGGCTGCGCGGCCAGAGGGAGCACGTGTCCAGGACAGCGCTTCAGAGCCAGAGAGAGAGCGAGGCTCCTGGCACAGGCCTCCGGCGCCTGCAGCCTCAGACGGGCCAGCTCTCCCCGAGTGACAGTTATGCCAGCCACCCCTGCACGGGCCAGGACACGGCTGAGGGGCCCTGGGTGACCACCTTTCCTCTCCCCTCTGACATTTCAAGTGCAGCCTGACACTGACGGCGCAGTTAGTGGGGAGCTGAGCAAGAGACACCTAAAAGCAGCCTGGTGAGCAGGCAAGGAGAGCCTCCTGGAGGAACTGGTGTCAGACGTGGAGTTAGCCAGGCAGAGGAGGGGGAAGGGCGTCCTGCACTGAGCGCAGAGGTAAGCAAACACTTGGTCAGTATGACCCGCAGGCCAGGACAGGACGGTCCACCTACGGGTTCTGGTAATAGGACAGTCCCGGCAAGAACACTGCTAGTTCTCTGTCCAGGGACACGGTCAAGGCCGGTGTCTAGGAGGGAGGGCGTGTAGTCAAGGCAGGTGTTGGCTGACTTCACCGGGGACTGCTGCAAGGGGGACCCCACGGGTTTGTCTGCACCCGCCAGCCCTGCCCCCGGTGGCCCCATTACTGGAGGGCATGCGGGGCCTCGGGAGTCCCGCACCCTCCCTGCTGTGTGGCCTTGAGCAGCCTGGCTCCCTCTCAGGTGTTTCCTCACCTGGCATCAGGCTGTTGTGATACGCTGTGTAAGGCGCCTGGCACCCAGCAGTGTTCAGAAGACAGACCCCCGTGCAAAGGTAGCACACAGCCTAGTGTCTGGGCACCAGTGGGGCCAGGCAGCTGGCTGGGACCCAGTTTTCTTCAGAAAGGGGATAGATTTAAGATGGGGTGGCGAGGAGAGCAGGTGCCGTGCCGAATGCTGAACAGCCCGCTGTGGCAGGGGTGAGCCCGCAGGCCAGGCCCCAGTCCCAAAGGCTGAGGGAGTGGAGCCGCGAGTGCTGGGCTGGGCCTCACTGCCCATCTGCATAGTGGGAGCACTGGCCACACAGGTGTGGAGAGCTTGGCCTCAGGATGAATCGAAGGCGGAGACACTGGTCACCAGACCACAGCGCAGCACCACTGAGCTTCCTCAGGAACATTTAATTGGCAACAGCCCCCCTCCAAGTGCACAGGCAGAGGGGGTAGCACGACCTGCCCTCACACCAGCTCGCCAGGCCGCCGGGCAGGGCCTCTGAGGTGGGGAGGGACCAGGTGAGCTGCATCTAAGGGACTTGGGTGCCCTAAGTAGCAGGGGGCTGAGTGGGGTGGGGTGGTGGCCCAGAGGACAGCTGAATAAATGGTGGTGCAGACATGGGGTGCTCTGAAGACAAGGGACAGGGGAGGCTGGAATGGACAACTGACCACCTGCACCCAGGACCATGTGACAGATGCCTTCACCCAAGAGGCCGCTCCTTCCTGGCTCCTGTGACCCTCAGGCCAACCCGGCTGGTAACAGATGGCTTTGACCTTCTCTGCTCTGTAGCTGGCGGACCACGCCCAAGCCCCAGCTGCCTGTCTTCGGGGTGGCTCCCCGCTGTCCTGGGTGACCACCCAGTGGGGACACTCCCCTTTGCCTCCTCTAGCTACTCTGACCTGTGGAAGCTGCCGGTGGGCTGGTGTAAGAGACAGTGAGGATCCAGGAAAGGCCTGACCCCACTCCAAGTCTTGTAAAGGACACGAACTTGGCTTGCACCCCAGTTCTTGTGATCTAGGCAAGCAGACTTTTGTCATAGCAACTGTCATACATAGATGGATCTAGACCAGGGGTGGGCAAACTTTTTGACTCGAGGGCCACAATGGGTTCTTAAACTGGACCAGAGGGCCGGAACAAAAGCATGGATGGAGTGTTTGTGTGAACTAATATAAATTCAAAGTAAACATCATTACATAAAAGGGTACGGTCTTTTTTTTTTTTTTTTTAGTTTTATTCATTTCAAACGGGCCAGATCCAGCCCGCGGGCCATAGCTTGCCCACGGCTGATCTAGACAAAGCTTGCCCAGTCTTGCCCAGCTTGTAACGACCTGCTACTTCCCTATGATAGGCCAAGCCCTAGCAGTGATCTATGAAGCGTGACCAGCCACAGCTTAGTATAAAACAGTGTGTGTAAAAAGTAAAGTTGCTGGTGCTGGTACCGTGTGCCAGTCCTCCTAAGCCCTGGTCTCTGGTGCTTTCATCCCACGCCACCTTTACCCTGCAGGACCCCTTGGGAGCGGGCCTCAACAATTGGTGCCCGAACAGAGACTTGAAGATGGGCTTCGTGAGGACCCCGGAGTCACAGTCAGCTGAGTCAATCAATCAATCAATCAAGTTTTGGGTCATTTGTATTAATTAGGAGTAAAACATGGGGCAATTAGAGACCAAAGAGCACTCTCTGTATGCGCAGATGTTAAAGAACATGCTGCAGGCAAGGGGGGCTCGTGTAACAACTTCACAGCTAGAGCGTTTTTTAAATTTTGTGCAGGAAGTCTGCCCATGGTTCCCTGAGGAAGGAACCGTTAACTTAGAAACATGGCAGAAAATTGGAAAACAAATGCGCAATCATTATAAAGCCCTTGGGCCAAGTAAGACACCGGTTGATGCATTTTCCTTATGGAATTTAATACGGGATTGTTCAGATCCCAGGCATGACCATAATCAACCACCTCTTAAGCCAGAAAAAAAGGAGAGAAATATTAAAAATCGCATAAGGAAGGAAGCACCTGCTCTTAATAATCTAAGAAATACTAGCTGTAAAAGATTGAAGTTTCTAAGAATAAGGAATTATAAGAAGAAGAAGAGAAATATTAAAAGGAAATTAATCAAATAGTACAGGCCAGTAAGCCAAATGTAATAATTAATATCTCTTAATAATTATAAAAAATATATAATCTTTAAATCATATATACACATATATATTTAATAGTCTTTCAAGTTAGATTTCAAAACTATAGCCAAGGAATAACTTTAGGACATTTCACGGACCCTAAAATGTTTTCAAAAGTTTATTCTCTAAATCACATAGAAAAGCTTTATCAAATAAAAATTAATAAATATATATTTTAAGTTTTTTCTCTAAGAAAGGGCAAAACAAGTTATTTTACTTAAAATTTCTTAAAATACAGCAATAGAATTTTGGGATATAATTTAAAATAACAAAAGCTCCCCGCTACTACATTTTAAATTAGGCTAGAGATAGGCAGTATTTACACCTCATAAATCAGACATAAAACTTTACTAAATTTACTAACTTTATTAATAAAAATACCTACCACAAAAAGGCAGTATCTTTATAAGCAATTAAATCCTAGTAAAGTAAATTCTTCACTCATATTCCTGGAGTCCCCTATAATCCCCCAGGACAAAGCATAGTTGAAAGGGCACATCGTTCCCTGAAAAATCAAATCCAAAAAACAAAGAAGGGGGAGCTAGGGGGTCCGTACTCTCCTCACCAAATATTACAACATTCACTATTTAAATTTTTTAAAATCAGCAGCATGGGGAAATAGCTGCTGAAAAACACTTTGTTCCTCAAGAACATAAGCCTAATTCTAAAGTAATGTACCGGGATCAGGAGTCCTTTTGGAAAGGCCCGGTGGCGTTGCTAACTTGGGGAAGAGGGTATACTTGTGTTTAAGTTCCAGATGCAGACCCCAATGACCGAGTTTGCGATCGGATCTCTGAGGAAGAGGATGAGAAGCCATAAACCTTCAGGACACGCTCCAGCGGAGGCGTCGTCTGCAGACCCTTCGGACGGAGATGGCCCCTCCTCGCCTGGGGCTCTTTGAAGAGGCTGGATGCGGAAGCTCAAAGCATTCACTCGGAACTCTTCCCGGGGATTGACTTCGGCTTTAATTACCTTAACTGGACTTTTGCCAGTGACTTCGGCTGCAGTTCACTGGACTCATGTGATTGATCCACCAACCTTCACTCTGCAGACTTGGACTGATCCTGATCCGCCTTGGACTACCAATGACTTGGACTATATTCAAGGGACTTGGGTGAGGCCTAAGGGACATTTGGGGGACTCTCATTTTCAAGCATTGTTTAACCAGACTCTCACCTGGAATGTACCCACTGTTCCTCTGTATGTTCCTTAATAGCTTTTATTGTATTTACTATGGTAATTATTTCTTCTGCTGTCGCATCAGGATTTGCTTTAAAAACCTCTATCCTTACAGCCCAACAAGTAGATAGTGGATTACACAACCTCGCCTCTAACTGGGAAACGGGCAAGTTTATATTAGTAGCTAGAGCAATGGGGCAAAGTTGATTAATAAGTACCTTGGTAAGAGGGCATTATTGATTAATTACGGTTTTATATAATTCACTTATGTTTTAGTAACTGCACTTAGCAACAACGATTGATTATATAACTTTAAAGGAAATTCAGGCTATGATAAGTGCAAAGGGACCTTGGCTTCCGCCTGTGGGGGTAGCAGCTAAGATTTTAGTGAGACTGAAAGTTGGTTTTCTTCTACCCGGTGGACCTCGTGATTGGGTTCCGGGATTATGCTACTTATATGCATAACCATTCTGCTTTGTCTACTTCCAGTCTGCATCCAAGCCATTGGAGGAAGCCTCCAATCCTTGCAAACCCCTGTACACGAACTTCGCCTAAGACACGAAGAAGGGGGAGATGTAAGAGACAGTGAGGGTCCAGGAAAGGCCTGACCCCACTCCAAGTCATGTAAAGGACATGAACTTGGCTTGCACCCCAGTTCTTGTGATCTAGGCAAGCAGACTTTTGTCATAGCAACTGTCATACATAGATGGATCTAGACAAAGCTTGCCCAGTCTTGCCCAGCTTGTAACGATCTGCTACTTCCCTATGATAGGCCAAGCCCTAGCAGTGATCTATGAAGCATGACCAGCCACAGCTTAGTATAAAACAGTGTGTGTAAAAAGTGAAGTTGCTGGTGCTGGTGCCTTGTGCCAGTCCTCCTAAGCCCTGGTCTCTGGTGCTTTCATCCACGCCACCTCTACCCTGCGGGACCCCTTGGGAGCGGGCCTGGGGGGCCAGCGGTGGGACAGCTACTTGAGCAGGCCCCGGGTGAGCCTCAGCGCGGCTTCGTAGCTGACGAAGACCACCATGTTGACGGGGAAGGCACGGCAGCAGTTGAGCGTCAGCCCCTTGAAGAGGACCCGCGGCCCTTCCTCCCGCACGCTGGTCACCAGGCAATGCAGGAGGCCCCTGTAGCGCTGCTGGCCCTGCCCGTCCACCTGCAGGCGAGTCTTGATCACGTCCATGGGGGTGGCCACAGCCCAGGCCAGGACCCCTGCACAGCCGCCGGCCAGCAGCACACCCAGGACATCTGCAGGGGGAGACCCGCGAGGGAGCACCTTGATTGGAGGCGGATGGAGGCCCCAGAGGAGAGTGGGGGGGCTCCCAGGGCAGGGCCCAGCGTCATGAAGCCCTGGGCTCATTCCACCAATGTGACTCGTCCAGGCCACACGGAGGGGGTCTGTCCTGACCCTCAGCGTCGGGAGCACTCAGGCTCCCACCCTGGGAGGCTCTGAGGTAGCAATGTGCCACCTGACTCAGCTCCCACTGGTGAGCCTGTGCCCCTTCCAGGCCCCAGCCCCCACTCACCTGGCTGGCTGTGGCCAGCAGGTGTGAGCCACTCGCTGAGGACGGAGTAGGAGAGGAAGTAGGTGGCGAAGGAGTGGCCCTCCCGGAGGAGCAGGGCCGAGCTGCCCTTGTAGAGGCCCCGCAGCCCCTCCTCACGGGCCACTGTGGCCAGGCAGTGCAGCGGCCCCCGGTACTTGGGCCCAGGCACCTGACTTGCAGGGGGTGCAGGACACATGGGGGGCACGGCCGAGGGCCATGAGGCCGAGGATCTCCGCCTCTGCTGCATCTGCGTCTGGGTCTGGGTCTGCAGGCGGACCTTGGCCACCTCGGTAGGCGAGGTCAGGAACACCTGGAGCAGAGACGCAGCCATAGAAGGCGCCAGCACTGCCCACACACCCTGGACCTGGCCTCCCGTCAGCCTCCCGTTACCCACAGTGACATCGGGGAACCTGCGCCCCATGAAGAATCAGGCTGGCCCACGGCCCCGGTGTAGCGGCGTTCAAAGCCCTCTCTGCCCACCCAAGCCCAAGCCAGCACCTTCTCCAGCTACACACTCGTCCAGCACAGAGCGGACTCCACACACAGCAGGTGTCAGGTAAGTGGCTGTGACTCCAATTCATGAAAGCATTTAATCACATAATTAGTATGTCAATGACATATTACCGTATGACTTAATTAATGTAAGTACTTAATGTAAGAATAATAAAGTATTTAATAACATTAATATGTAACATAACATTACTGATAATGCTGTCTGCATTTCATGGGTGCTCATACCTGTCAGACTTGGTGTTAGGGGCTTTACATGTGACCTCACTTAGTCCTCATCGAGACGCCTCTTACTGATGAAGAGTCAGAAGTTCAGGGAGGCTCCCTGGAGTCCTCAAGTTCCCTCAGCTGATGAGACTCAGCTGAGTTCTCACCCTTAGTCCCCCAGCCTCCATCCAGCCCTGCCCTCACGGAGCTTCAGTTTCCCTGCCTTCTGGGCTTAGGGACCTCTCAGGCCCTCCCCACCCCTGGGACCCCACTCACACGGACGAGGCCAGAGGCGAAACCCGAGAGCGTGATGTCGGTCCTGGCGGGCTTGGCGTCGGCGCTGCCATACCGGAACCGGCAGATGCGTGTGAGGCAGGTGTGGTAGGTGCCGAAAGACAGTGACGAGACCAGGGACACAGTGCTTATGGGCAACAAGAGGCCCCTGTAGAAGCCCCTCACCTGGTGGGCAGATGGATGGGACCCAAGGACTGCAGTCAGGCCAGAGGTTCGGCCAGGAGGAGGGCCCTGGTCTCACCCCTGCAGGCCCTTCCTGGCTATGGGACCTCAGGCAAGTCACTTACTGCCTAGGGCCTCAGTATCCTGGGCTGTAAAATGGGGCTCAGAGTACTCAACTTGAGAGATTGTGATGAAGAGACAGAGGGCCAAGCTGGACCCAGGGCAGCTACTTGATGATGAAGCTGAGGAACTGGCATGCTTCCTTGTTGCTGTTTTCCTTTGGCCCCTCCTTGGCCAGCACCAAGCCCCAAGGTCGCTTTGGTAAATGTCCCTGTCCCCCCTCTGGACAGCTCTCTGTCCTGGACCCTGGGGACCTGACAACTCCACCCTGAAGAGGACAGAAATGCCCACACATGGGTCCCCCCATCGTCAAAGTCCCCGGACACCCCCCGCCCCCCCGCATGCTGGACACCCAGCCCTGGGCCTCAGAGGAACCCAGAGGTTGGTGCAATTATTCCCATTTGGAAGTGAGAGAACCGAGGCTCAGAGAGTGGGGAGTGGCAGGCCTGGGGCCTGAGCCCCAACAGCCCCTGCCTGTCATCCTGGCCCCAGGCCTACCCGCTCTCGCAGATACGTGTCCCGGACGCAGTGCCAGATGCCTGTGTACTTGGGCTCCGTCTGGATCTTGACCTGTGGGAGAACCAGGCTTCAGGAAGGGGTCAAGGTCAGGGCAAGGACAGCAGGCCTGGGGGAGGGGAAGAGCCAGCTCCTTGGATGTCACGGCCACACTCTCAGTGGCAGAGCAGGGACAGTGAGCCCCATGTAAGAGGAGGAGCCAGAGGCTGGAAAAGGGGCAGGTGGGGAGGGCCGGGTGTGATGAGCACCCTAGGAAGCTCTTCTGACCGGGGATGGGGTGCAGGAGGCTCGCAGGGGCAGGCGGAGTGGGGGAAGGGGGAGGAGGAGGGCTACAGGGCCTATCGCCACACACCTTCACCGTGTCCAGGGGGTAGCCCACAGCAACACCGCAGACGCCTGGAAGGAAACCAGAGCTCAGGGTGAGGACAGCGGGAGCGGACCCCCTCCTCGTCCAGTGTCTCATCAACAGGAGAGCCACCCCGTTCTGCAAACGAGGCAACAGAGGCTCCGAGAGCTGAAGGGACTCCCAACTGGCTGCTGGCCCCCAGGACACTCCTCGCCCTGCCTCTGGGGCCATGTTTTGGGAGAACTCTTGGTCTGGCACTGGCTGGGCCTGTCCCAGGCCAGGCAGCGCTGGCCCTCAAGCCTCAGGCTGCGACGGGTTTGTCTGGGGGTGGGAGAGCCCAGCCCCCCCAGGGCTCCATGAAGGGCTCCTGGAACCGCGAGCTTGTGTGGCACAGTGGACGCGAGGCTTCCTGGACCTGGGCCCTCTGCCCTGCACAGAGGGCTGGTGCCACCGTCCTGTTTCCGTCTCCTTTCCTGACACCAGGGACTCAATGTCCAGGCCCCAGCACTGCCATGGGGAAGCCGGAGAGTGAGCAGACAGGTCCCTGGGGATGGGTGGTGAGGGCCATGTGAGGACAGTAATGCTTTGGGGTTGGGTCCTATTTACTCTGTATCCCAGGACTTGATAAACATGCATGAATGAAAGAATAGAGTGAATGAATGAATGAATGAAATGAAGTAAAAGACTGACTTGAAAAGAATTACCCTCCTCGACCCTCACATAAACCTCAGCAAACTCCTATTCATCCATCAAAGCCCTCCCATAGCACCACCTCCTCTCCGGAGCCCTCCCTCACCCCTGAGCTCAGGCTGCCTCTGTTCCCAGAAGCCTGTGGCTCAGAGCCCCTGGCCCACAGCATGCCAGCTCTGCCTCCGGAGCTGGAGTCAAGGACAAGGCCCACGTCTGTTCCCTGTGACCCGGGACCCAGCACAGAGCAGAGGCCCTTTCCACCAGGCCTTCCGTGGACTCCGGAGGAAACATCTGACATCCAAGGTCCCTTCCCGGCTGTGTGATCTTGGGCAAGCCAAGCCCCATCTCTGAGCCTCCTCCTTAGGGGGCTGGTGTCCAGGGCAGCAGCTGGCCTCAGTCCCTGCACACAGTAGGACCTCAGCAAGCCTCTGGATGGGGCCAGAGCCCTGGTCTCCCTGGCGAGGCGCTGCTCCCTCCCCTCCCACACTGTTCCCAGAAGTAAGGACAGGAAGGAGGCCACTGCTGTTTCACACGATAAGCAAGGCCAAGGGTGCCCGGCCCCAAACAGCCTCCACCGCCTGCAAGGTGGGTGGCCGGGAGGATCCGGAGCCTGAATCAGCCTGTTTCCCAGCGGGCCAGTTACCAGTCTGGGTCTGTCTTTCGCAATGAGCCCTTTCCCCAGAAATAAAAACAGTTGCACACGGTGGATGGGCAGGCGGGGCTGGGGCGGGGCTGGGGTGGGGACGGGCCCTCCCCTCCTCGGCCCACAGCTTCCAGGAAGCGTTGTCCTCACTGTCCACCTCTCCTGGAGCTTCTGGTCCTTTCCCGTCTCAGCCAGTCCTCTGTGCTGGTCACTCCCAGCCTCCTCCTGGCCCAGGCAAAGACCACTTCTGCCCCGGAGGCCCCCACCCCAGAACTGCCCCTTTGCCTCCCCAGCTGGGCCCCCCAGGCCAGTGCAGACTTACCCCCACCCCCCAGCCTGCACCCAGCCCTGTGTTGCCACTGGAGTCTCCCAGGAACCAGCTCTGTCCTCCTGTCACTCAGCACCCATGCCCACACCAGGTCCCAGCCACTTCTGGGGTGACTCCTCAAACCCCACGTCTTCCAGAGGCCCCCCTAGGACAGAGCATCCCCCACCTCCTCCAGGTACCCCCAGGAGCAACAGTCCCCTACAAGGCCCTGCTGCCCTGTCCGCTACCTCCGATGGCTCCGGCAACAAAATCCATGGACAACGTGGGTGTTTCTCCTAGAACAGTCCAGTGTCACCACCAACAACCGGTCAGGTCCTCTCAGACCTTAAATACCTGCGGTGGGGGAGGGGGCAGGAAGCAGGAGCTGCTGACCAGTGGCCCAGAGGCAGAGGTTGAGCTGGAAAGCACGCAGGTCGATGCCCACCTGGATTCCCGCCCACCCCACCCCTAATGCCCCTTGTCCCAGTGCCCTCAGGACCCAGCCGTGGGCAGTAGAGAGAGGCCACAGGAGCATCAGGCTCTGGGGACACAGGACCACTGTCCGCACCTGCAGGCCTGGGCCCCAGACCACATCCAGACACCTCCGGGAGGTCCAGGAACAGGGCTGTGATGTCCCTGCCCCTCCAGCCCCAGCTCACATCTCATTGGTGTCTTGGGCCTCCCTGACTCCCCTGGAGTGATTCCTGCTCAGGAAACCCACAAAGCTCCCTCACTTGCCCTGGCCAGTTTGGCTCAGTGGACAGAGCGTCGGCCTGCGTACCGAAGGGTCCCAGGTTCGACTCCAGTCAAGGACATGTACCTTGGTTGCAGGCTCCCAGCTCTGGTCGAGGGCATGCGGGAGACAACCAATCAATGTGTCTCTCTCATATTAGTGTTTGTCCTGTCTCTCCCCCTCCCTTCCACTCTCTCTAAAAATCAATAGGAAAAAATCCTCGGGTGAGGATTTAAAAAAAAAAAAAGCTCCCTCAATTATTCATTCAACAAACACTATCAGAGCTGAGGTTGCACTGAGGCAAATAAGGCCCAAGCCCAGGCCTCAGGTGTCTAGCTGGCAGGGAGGGCTGGGGGCGTGGGCCACTGATGCCTGGCACCTAGAAGGCTGGTCAGGGCCCTCCTGGGAGCAGCATGAACACCAGCCGCCCACTGTTGGTTCCACCCCCTTCACACTGCCCTGGTCCCACACTGTCCCTGCCCCCAAGGCCCCAGCGAAGTCTGCCTCCACTTGAGTCCCCTGCCCCAGCAAGACCCAGCGCTGAGCAGAGCTTGCTGAGCAAGGAGACCACACCCTGTGGGGCCCACTGCTGGGCTGGCCGTTTGGCCTCAAACCAAACTAGGAGCTGCTCCAACAAGAGGCCGATTCCATCGGCTCGTCGCTCGAAATCATTGCAGCCCTGCGAGGACCCTGAGGCTCAGAGAGCCGTGAACTTGTCCAGGGTGTCCCCTGACCAGAAACCTGGCCGGACCGGGGACAGTGGCCCTCAGGGCAGGGCCACGTGTCCTGGTGGGTGGACTTGTAGGCCAGCCCTGAGCAGGCTGAGAATTGGCAGAGGGCAGCCTCGCTGGCGCCTGCCCAGCCATTTTTGAGTGGAGGACACGAGTTGCCAGTAGCAGTTGCCACGGCAGAGGGCAAAGGGCAGGACGTGGCCCGTCCAAGGCCAGTTCTGATGCCTGTCCTGGACTTTAGAGAGAAGCGGCTCTGTCTGGTTAGGAGCCAAGCTGCCTGTGTTAGGATCCCAGCTCTGTCACTCATGTCAGCTCTGAAACCTCGGGCAAGCTCCCTGACCATCCTGTGCCTCCGTTTCTGCATCCACGAAATGAGGACAGTACCTGCCTCACATCTGTGACCACTCAGGGCACGCTCCAGTGGAAGCGGCCGGCCACATGCAAAGGCTGCATTAATAGGAGCATAAGTTCTCGAAGGAAGGAGGTGACAGTCCTGTTATGAGCAGGGCAAGCACAGTTGGAACTTAGGTTCATTTGCAGATGCTACACTTGGAAGGCCAGTACCTTGCATGATGAGGGAGCTTGAGGAATGTTGTCTAACTGACAGAACAGGGAGCTGTTTAGTCCCGTGATTCCTGCAGAGCATCTAATGTGGTAAGTACTGCTCACCCTCTGGCACTTGAGGCAGGAACCCAGAAATGGCCCTGAATACCTTTCCCCCTGCACCCTACATCCAGTGAGGCACCCAGTCCTGTTTATGTTCAGATCCATCTCACAATCCATCTGCACAGCCCCCGGCTGCATCATCTCCCCCTCATGCCACAAACATAGCATGCCTACTATGTGCCACATTCCAGGCACCAGACCACAGCAAGAAACTCAGACAAATGCCCCTCACCCATGGGTCTTCTGTTCTAGGTGGGGAGACGGACACCAACACAATAAATAACAATACAGAGTCTGCCAGATGGTGTAAGGACCGAGGACAGACGTAGAGTAGGGTGGGGACACGGGCATTGGGTGGGTGGGGGGGCGGTGCGTTAGAAAGGGCAGCCCAAGAAGCTGACACTTGAGAGCGTGTTCTCTCGATCACTGCAGCCAAGTTCACCTGCCCTTTGTCTCCCAAACAAACACCCTTCTCCACAGCAGAACAGAAAACCCGCCACCTCTCCCTTGAGGCTGGTTTGTGCAGGTCTAACTGTCTCCCCACCCAGCGGTGAGCTGCTGGCAGGCAGAGTCCAGCAGGTTTGTCTCTGAGCCCACAGCACCCAGCACAGGGCAGGCACCCGGGGAGGCTCAGTGAATAAGTGCATGAAACAAATCAGTGAACAGATGGGTGGGTGGGTGGGTGGGTGGGTGGATGACTGGGTGGATGGGTGGATAAGTGGCTGGGTGGGTGGGTGGATGGATCAATGGATGCAGGGATGGATGATAGATGGACACACAGGTGAATGGACCTTGGGCAGAGTCAGCTGTTCACACCTGGTCTGACCTGACTCAGTAGATGGTAAAGCCCTCTGGTAGCTGGGGAGACTGGGATCTTAGTGGGGAAGAGCCTCCCATGGTTTGAGGGGATACCCGAGCTGGGTTTGGCTTCTGGCTCCACCTCCCCCAGCTGTGTGATCTGGGGTCAGTGGAGTGACCTCTCTGAGTCTTGCATGGATGGCAGGAGACCACCTCTCCCGATGGGGAGTGTCATTACTGTCAGCATTAGGCATGCTTTAGGCCTCTCCCTCCTTCAGCCACATGTTCCGCCCCACCCAGCCCCGGCAAGGAGGCCAGGCCGTCCCCTAGAGGGAGACAGACATCACACAAACAGCACCAGCCTGGACCCAAACGAAAGGAAGGAGGACGCTGGATGCTGGCGCTGCTGGCCCCCTGAGCTCAGGCTATGCTGGTCCGGGCGCCCTGGGGGAACCTGACAACCCTAAATGCATCTTCACAGTTTGTAACAAAAGGAATAACTAAAGTTCTTTTTAAAATCCAGGCGGCAGAGACGCAGCCACCACAGACAGTGAGAGCCACCAGCCCAGGCCGGACCGTCTTCCTGCAGGAGGCCGGCATGTTTCCGTTTTCCTATCTTTTGGCGATTTGCTTCTTTTCCTTATCGCCGTGTCTGGTTCGCCCTGCCACTGCAGCACCTGCAGACCTACTTCCAGCTCAGCCCCAGGGCTGTGGCTGCTGTGGACAGAGGAGGGCCAGCCCCTTTCTCCTCCGTCTGTCTGTGTCCTGCTGTGTCTGTGGCCAGCCCCCGCCTTCTCCTGACCTCCCATTCTCACTTCCCTGCGGTGCCAAGGCCCCAGACCTACCAGCTCAGCCCAGGGTTCAGGTGAGGGCACACTGCCCTCCTCTGGCCAGTGGCCTCAGGTGCCTGCTCACACTGCCTGTCTGCCAGGGACAGCGTGGTCATGCAGCCATTCTCCACCCATGCGAAGTGGGAGCCCCGAGAGAGGGCACCGCCGGGCCAGCTCACTCCAGCCCCCAGCGCCAGCCCCGGGTTGGCCCAGAGGGTGGACTCCGTGAGGCCTGTGCATCGGACGGACAACTGAATGCACAGCCAGCACGCACTGTGTCCGGGACACTTGGCTGAGTTCCTTTGGCCTGGCCCTCTTGCCCTGACCAGCCGTGACTCCAGTTGGGGACCACTCCTTTGGCCAGTCAGGACTCCCCCAGGCAGGCCCCCCTTAGTTCTATTTTTAGACTGGAAGCATTTGCCAAGTGTCTATTTATATCACTGCCCATCTTGGGTTTCTGGTCACCTCATCTGGTGGAGCTAGCCTCCCTTTGGCCTCTTGGCCGGGCTGGCCGAGTGGGTTCAGAATGGCCTGGAGCACCGGGAGGGAGGCCCCCAGCGTGCCTGGACAGGTAGCCCTCGGCCACCCAGCTTATCAGCAACTTTGGGATTGACTCAGTTCAAGGGGGAGAAGTGGATTCCTCAAATCTACCCAAGGAGAGACCGTAGGTACCATGGACTGGGGCTGAGGGCTCCCAGGACAGTGGCTGGCTGTCCCCAGGTGGTCCCAGGCCCTCCATCGCCAAGGCCCAGGGCAGACTGGCTCAGTGGGGAGGCCAGGACACGCCAGGATAGACCGGATAAGGGGCCAGGGAGACATCCACACAGCAAACAGTTATTCCCTGGGAGAAAGGGACGTGTCGGGCAGACAGCTCTGCTCAAGGCTAGGCCACACACACCCGCACTGGTCCCCCAGCCCTCGCCACAAAGCCACCCACCTGCTCACTGAACCTCAGCAGCCACGGGGACCTGTCGGTCCCAAATTCTCCCTCACCGGCCCAGACAGCCGAAGGGGCCCTCACGAAAACCTTCAGTTCCTCTGCTGATGAATTAAATGAGCTCCTTTTTACACTGTGGTGATGCTGGTTTGATAACATTGAAATCAACTCTTATCTTCCGTTTCCTGCAGAGGTGTCCAGAGCCGAAGGCAGAGCCAGGCCCTGCCCACCCGGCACTGGCCCCTGCACAGCCCGAGGCCCCAGGTCCACACAGCTGGTCATCAGCCACCCCACCCCCACTCACCCAGGGGCACTCTAAGCTCCAGCCTTGCCCCCCCCCAGCCCAGGTCCAGACAGCCTCCTTCACTGAATTCTCCGGGTTAGGGAGTGTTGTAATGTACCCCGCGAATCACACAAGGACGCCTCAAGAAGTCGAATTAAAGAGTCACATTTATTGCAAATCCGGCACTATGAGGGGGCATTTTGCTCTCCCAATTCTCATAGTGCCTGCCCCAGCCCCAACATCAGATTTATATAGGCAAAGATCACAAAGGTACGGATTACATCCCAGGGTTTGGAATGAGGAACCTGGTTTGCAAAAAAGCAGTTTACAGAAGCAGACTTAAGCATGTTATCTCAATTACT